TTGAAAAGCAGTAATTTCAGAGGCTTGTATTTTGTTTGAGTACTAATTATCAGGACAACACGGTAGAGTCTCATTTGGTTATTAGTATATAGACATTTTTAACATTGTTCCTATACAAGAGTTAATTAGGTATTTTTAAAGACTATTGAGAGAAATAACATTTTAGTATTTTTTGTTATTAGAGAAGTCTTAATGTTAACCTTCTTAACCGAGGTCCTTAGTTTTCATGTGTTTTCTTCTATAGAACTGTCTTATAAATTATTTGTACATAATGCATGTACATCATGCTGGAATTCTGCTTATGAAACTAGTTATTCATCTCAAAAAATGGAACTTAGGGGAATATAACTGAATACTCAACTGTACATGGACTACTTTATAAACTATTGAAGCAACTTAAGCATACAAATATATTTAAAATACACAAGTTATTTTTTAAATGTTCCACACAGAGTGAGCATTGCATTGTTATTACAGACTTGGGAGTATCATGTTTTTGTAAACTATTATTATTTAATGAAACTACCTTTTACTAGAAGCTAATACTAGAATGAGTCAGGAGATGGGGATTTTTTAATTTTTTTTCTTTTAGGAAAGTGATTCAGCCTAGGTCATCCATAAAGTTGCAGACTCTTGGCATAGCAGAACCCAGGAGAGTAACAACTTACTCAACCCTACTGTAGACCAGAAACTCAGTACACCCCATCCATAAGGGACAGAGACATCTCACACAAGAAACAATGCTGCAGATTTATTTTCTTTAGTTTTAAGTTTTTATAACCTCAAGTTTGTTTATCACACATAAGACATTTTCAGTAATAAGAGATCCTCTAGTTCATGTACTATACAATTGCAAATAGAATGAGGGGCATGTGAAGTACAAAAAAATGGAAAATACTAGCTTACATTGGGTAGACTTAAAATGCTGCTCAAAAAAAGTGACTTTTCAGCCTTTTACCTTTGCAGGTTGGAAGTCTTCTCTGCAGTCCAAAGATAGGCAATGAATGGAGAGAAAAAGCAACTCCAAAGCAGGAGAGGCACATTAGTAGGAGAAACAACAGAAATGCAAATCAAGTTAGAAAAGAGACACTCCTCCAATCACAAAGTCCAAAGAAAAACATTTTGCAGGTGTTTCAGAAATGCATGCTGCTGTCCATCCATCCTAGCTGGGTACATGAATCACACTTCATCCTATTTAGCCTACATTTATACTTGCCATATAGAGAGCACATCACTTGTACAGTACATAATTCCTTGCCCCAAAGAGCTTACAATCTAAGTTCATAAAAAAGAATGCATCAAGTAGCTGGATCAAGATCAAACAAATGGAGAAGACAGGGGAATCATTTTATATGGGATTAAAGTTGGGTTACATTACTGAGGTAACTTCTGAACATCATTGGCAGTGACGTCCTTAAGACATAAGTAATTTTTCAGTTAGAAGCTCTTCTGATCATGGAAAACTAGTTTAAAACTTACTGAATGATGCATTACAAGTAATCCACAAAAATTCTTAAAAACAGACTTGTTGGCAAGACACAAAAATGTTCAGATTGCCTAAATTCTGCATTTGAGATACTAACTTGACATCCCACTAGAAAGATATGGATGTTACATAAATTCATATCTACATGTCACATCTGAATGTAAAAGGCTTTTTATATTTAAGCTTAAAATGTTAAATTCTGATTTAAGAATCTTGCTGCTACAAACACAGGGTTAGTACTTAAACATTAATATGAAAAGTTCTATTTAAAAAATGTATTTTCAAATTCAAAACAACCTGTGGACAAGATACAGGTGGCTTGAAATCAACATTTTTTTGCTACCATAAGTGACCCATTTTTCCCACTTATAAAACACTGTTCTTGCTATTTGGCAGTTATAATAGAACTGACTAGTTAATCAACTTTGAATTTTTTTTTGTTTTGGGTTTTGGTCTGGTTTGGGTTTTCGTTTTGGGTGGGTTTTTTTGCATTTCCCTGGTTATCTTATTTCTTAAAGTCTTGCACTTTATCTATTAATCAGCAAGGCGCAGTTGAAAAGTAATTTATATGTAAGCTTTGTGCCCATTTAGCTAGCGTTTTTTAATCCATTAACATGCAAATAGAAAGTATCTTTTCATCCCACTATGACATTCGTGTCTTTCATACCAGGGAATCTTGCTTTGGATTACATAAGGCATTTGCAACACTTCCACGACATTTGAAAAAATGTTGGCATAGTTACAGTAATAAAAATAACCATTATTATCCAATGTCTATACAATAACCAGAAAAATAAATACTTTTTTTCATGTTAACAAAGAGCATATCCAGTGGAAATATCTGATTTGAGCTATCCTTTTCTAAGGGAAACAGATGTTAAGAGAATTTCATTTCAGCATAGAAGTGAGACAGTGAGTTTAAGGACTGCTAACTGGTGATCCATTTGGTTTTAATTTTGAAAGGTACTCTCAAGGAAATCAAACCAGAAATGCAGACTAAAGAAATATATGTTGCTTTGATCCAAGTCAGTAGTAGCATTTACTTTTTAGAAATCACAACTATATGACATTTGCTTATAGGAGAATACAAAAGGAGTACAGCCACAGATTACCAAGAGAATTTGATGACTTCCGACCAACAGCTAAGAAATGAGGGAAGAAAATGGTCAGGGGATTATGATCAACTGTTTTGCATACATGCGTCAAAACTACAAAAAAATTGCCTGCAGACCTGCAATAAAACCCTCCCCGCTATTTGAACAAGTTTCAATTCCCAGGTAAAGATGAATCAACAAAATCAAAATATTGTGCTGTTTTATTGGTGTAAAAATCACACAATTGCTAGTTCTGATTCTGTAGAGATACATCCATGCAGTTAAACATCTATGATCCCACAGCCAGAAGAAGCCATTAAATAGAATATTTGCTGTTAGTCAGCAATTAATGCAAATTTACATATGAGATCAAAAGGTGTGTATCATACAATATACAACAAATCCTAATACAGTACATCAACCTGAATAGCAGGATACACTCAGGGAACTCTGTTGATAGTGAAGCCTGTCTAAACTCTGGAGAAATAAGGCCTGGAAAGAAGGTGACAGAAGGTACCCCAGAATTTCTAAAAAGCAAACTGTTAACTTTTTGTTGGTTTTTTTGTTGTGTTTTTTGTTGTTGTTGTTTTGTTTTGTTTTTGCTGGGAAGTAGAAGTTCATAGAGGTATTGACACGTTACTTGACAGTACAATTTGTTATAGTGAAGACTGGTGGATGTGATCTGTTACTAAAAGGTAATGTGTGAAACATGCAATTACAGGTGGTGCTTAGGGAATGTGTAATTAATATGCTGGGGATTTACACCCAACATTTCACAAAGGGAGGACTGAAAAAGGTCTGTTTGAGAGACTACCAATTGTACCCTAGATCTTTATACACATGCAGCTGAATCAGGACCATGAATGGATAAAATGTGAACACCTGGCAATCTGTGGTTACATACTCTGTAATGTATGCAACAAAACCAAAATCAAATCCAGATGATACGGCAAATAGCCTGCAAGAACTCTGTCAACCTGGATTAGTGGGTTTATTGCGGAGAGGCAGGCTTTCTACAATTGTGAACAACTTTCCAATTGTGAAAGGCAGCTTGGAAAGTAACATTGGCTAATGACATTACTAGTTTTTCTCTTTTCTGGCACAATAAAATAAATGCCATAACAAAAGAAGAGTTTATGTGCTTAAAGTTTAAAGTAAGTTGATTAGCAATCCTCTTCTGCAACAGTGTTTTAATGGGAAAAAAAAGAAACCACTAAAAAATTCCAGTTGGAAATTTTGGCGACAAACTCTGCAAACTCAAGTCCAATGAAGATCAGGGATGCCCACAGAAAATGATGTGAGAGGCAGTGTCACATTCAAGGAAAAAGGTTTGTTTTTTTTTCTCTGTACTGAAATAAAATACTTAAATACAAAAGTGGACAAATTGACCAAACAGAACCACAACATTTAATGTAGAATACAGTGCACTGAGCTAGATGCATGGATCTTTAAATAGGCTTTGAAACCAACACCCCTTTCAAAATTAGTAAATTCACAGTTAACGGCAGTAGGCTTAGAGGTGAGAGAAGGGTCGAAGTTGTTCCAGTTGGACTTCCAGGGAGATCCTCTCTTCAAGAACATCCTAAAAAAGAAAGATTTTCTACTGACTGTCCACAGATAATGAATACTAAAACTGTCTTCACGTGAGCCAAACTGGCAAATGTTAGCTTCAGTTCTGAGAACTAAGATCTAGGTCTTTTCTAGAATCTGGAGAACTCTTCCCACAATCTAAATAGAAGATTGGTCAGCTAGTATTTGCTCATAAAAGAAAATAAATATCTTGCTTAAAACCACATAGTTGTAACCAGTTGCAAGAACAACTATAGTATTTTCTAATGAAGTTTAAAATGTTAAGGGGGTAAAAGTGCTAACCTCAGTTAAAGGATTTGAAACTCATTTTTCTCCCTCCAGTTTTTTCTGTTACGTGAATTTTATGCACCTTGACTCTCATAAACATTAACAAGTGAAATTCAGGCTTGATAGCTTTTAAACTGGCCTATCTTCCAGTCTAGACAGTACCGCATTAATTAATCTTTACATTTCAGTTTTTCTAAAGAATTAACTTCAGAATTAAAATGAGATACCTTAAGAAAGATAGCAAGAGAAAGATGTTAAGATGTTGCCTATGGAGAAATTCAAAATTATAACAGCTGACTTAAACAGGTAACTGTTGTTCTTAAACAGCAAGTTTTGCATTCCAGATTATAACTATTTTTTAAAAATTAAATAATTTTGTAAGACTTCAAGGTTTGCTGTTTTCTTCAGAAGGCAGGCCACTTCAGGTGCTCTTCTCAATACTGCTTTTAAGATATCTGATGACCACAACAGCTATCCCCAATTATTAATACTAATTTAAGATTTCTGCTTTTTTTGTTTAGTGTAGCTGAAAGAAAATGAATACATTGAAAAATGTTTTTGGTAGTAATAAGAGCATCCTTTGGATTTTCACAGAGCTTGTCACAATTAGGTATATTCTATTATCTATAAAAATGACTAAATATTTTACTTCAATATCCTCTACTATGCATACCATTGGTTTCCAGAGATGCCTGTTACTGTGCATCGTTACTATATTGCTCTCTCAGGCCCTTCTCTTAGACAAAGGTTATGGAATTACCTTTAGTTGTTGCTGCAGTTCACTATTCAATCTGGCCAAAACAGTGTTGGTTTCCTTGTTACGCCTGATTGATGCCTGAATTGCCTTCTTGTCTTTTCCCACTGATCTGAGAAGATATTAGAAATATTTTAATAAAACATTTTATTGCTTATCTGGATATCACATTTATAGTCTCTTGTTTTAAATAAGCGGAATTTGATTTTCAATTTTTTTTTTAACCTTGTTACACTGTTAATTTTACCTCTTCTGCGTGGCTTGAGTAAACTTGTTAAGCCACATATACTTGGTTTCCATGCAACAGCAAGAAGCACATTTCAAGAATTTGTCATAATCAGTTTTCTGAAGTCCCAACACACCATACCGATTTACCACAAAGTGAGTAATTTAATAGTCTGCTTTCATGCTAGGACACAAAGAAAACGCATTTTGGACTGTTCATAGCAACCATTTTTTAATATCAAACACTATGTCTTAATACTTCCACCACTGATTTCCAACATACTCGATGAAGTTAAAAGAGTTTACACTTCAAAACTCCAGATCTCTGAAAGGTTTCTCAGTAGAAAAGACTTTGGGATGATCTTATTTAAAAACCAAAAGCCTTTAGATGGTTAAATTAGTCTAATACAAACACATTGAAATTGTTTGCAACTTCTAGAACACAGTGTGTAGGCTGTAAATGTAAACTTTCCAGTAACATATGTATTTATACACTTCTTGTGTTACCTAGGAATAGATGGCTGTGAAGCAAGAACAGCAGCTATGACACCTGTTTTCTGTGAAAGTTCCTCAGCTTCAGGTCTTAGCTCATCTTCTGATTTTAATCTTCTGCGAATAGGCTTTGGTGGTGGAGCAAGTGGAGTAGTGCCTTTACTCTGAAGAGGAAAAACAGCCTGTTAATTCTCACAACCTAACTTATTTTTACTTGGATTATATACTGGTCATTTGTGCTACACGTTCTTAAAATCAGTTACTGAGCTAACAGAATTTACAAGCTATCAGATATTTTCTGATGGACATCTAGCTGCATTCTAATACGGTCTGGAAAAAAACCTAAGTACTAGATGCTACCCTGTGGTGAAAGGGGAGCAAGTTGCTACACACGGAAAAAGAACTGTGCAAGCAGAAACATCTTGGTACGACTGACAATTGCAAATACACAACATCTCAGAGCACACTTCCCCCCTGTAAATATGTGCCAGTAACAAAAAAAGCTACAACTAACAAAGCTCTACACTAAAAGTTTTGCTCTGTTTAAAAAATTTCAACACTTACAACTATCTTAATTTTCTCAAGAACAAAGCTAATCTTTAACATCTTCTGATACAAAAATTCACCATACACATCTATGCCTACTGCAAGCACATATTGGACCTAAGAAAACTGAGTTGAAGTGGAAGTGTATAAAGTTGCTGTTGCAAATTGAAGCAGTTGTATCATTTTGTATACATCAGACAACTGTACACTTCTTCCAAATGTACTTTGCATACCACACTAGTGGGGACATTAGCAGGAGCTTTGTCTTCAACTCTTCCATCTGCTTTGGCAACTCTAAGAGAACTTGCAGAATCAGACGGCTTTTCAACCTAAAGGGATATAAACTATATTTAGAAAACTACTACTTGAAAAAATATGTCATTCAGAAACAGTTGTAATAAATAGAAGTATGCTGTGGTTCTGATACATGAATACAATTAACACCTAAAATTAATTCAGTTTTTCTTTAGAAGCATAGGCTGGATTACAAGAGCATCTGCTTTGGAGCAAAAACTTGTAAAACTAACTTGGCCATAAATACTGTTTTGGCCTGGGAGAAGAAGAGGCACACAGTAAAAAGCTGTACCTGCAGAATCAGTCAGACCTGTCTTTTGATTCAGAAATTAAGATTCGAAAGAAACTAAAGTCACTATGAAAATAAGATGAAATAGTTATTTGAACATACTCCACTCTCAAGTGTTGTGCTCTGGATGTTTGAAGAATTCTGAATAAAGTCCAATCCCCAGTGTTATGAGGCACAGTATAGCACAAAAGAGACTGTGGCCCGATGATATACTGCTACAGCTGCTTCTGTTACTACATTACCATCATTATCTGTTACTGCCAAAAGTTAATCCCTCCACTGGAACACAGTGCAACTGTTCCCCATCCACCTCAAAGCAAAAAAATCAGCAAGCTTAACTTCAGCAGTTTTCCATTGCAGCTCAAGCTAACATAGCTGATTTTGCAATGAGGTACATAGGAAGTGCTCAAATAGTGCTTACTGTCATTGACCTTCCTGATTAAGGGAAGCAAGAATGTGCTGCTAATAGCTGGGAGACCCTTAGAGCACTATGAAGTACTTTTCCAACTGAGGATGCTGAGATGTCCCAGAGAACTTACAATCTGGATGAAGGCTACAAATTATGAAAACAAAACATGAAGTACCACAGGATATCAGGGGATGGAAGGGACCTCTGAAGATCATTGAGTCCAACCCCTTGCCAGAAAACTACACACAACTAGGGCAGATCACTCAGGAAGGCAGACAGACAGGTTTTGAAAGTCTCCAGAGCAGGAGACTCCACAACCTCTCTGGGCAACCTGTTCCAGTGCTCTGTAAACCTCACAGTAAGGAAGTTCTTCCTCATGTTAAGGTGAAACTTCCTATGCTTGAGCGCATTGCCCCTTGTCCTATCATAGGGCACAAATGAAAAGAGCTTCTCCCTGCCTTCTAGATGCCCAGCCCTCATGTATTTGTAGACATTAGATCCCCCCTCAGTCTTCTCCAGTCTAGACTGAAAAGCCCCTGGTCTCTTAGCCTTTCCTTGTAAGGCAGGTGTTCCAGTCCCTTAATCATCCTCATAGCCCTCCATTGGACTTTCTCTAGTAGATCCCTGTCCCTCTTGAACTGGGGAGCCCAGAACTGCACATAATACTCCAAGTAAGGTCTCACCAGGGCTGAGTAGAGGGGGAGGAGAATCACCCTTGATCTCCTGGAGACACTCCTCTTAATGCACCCCAAGATACCATTGGCCTTCTTGGCCACAAGAGCACATTGTTGTCCCATGGAGAACTTCTTGTCTACCCAGACTCCAAGGTCCTTCTCCATGGAGCTGCTCTCTAGCAGATCACCTCCTAGCCTGTACTGGTGCATTTTGTTGTTCCTTCCCAGGTGCAGGACTCTGCACTTGCTCTTGTTGAATCTCATGCAATAGTCTTTAGTCTCAAGTAATTAATATAATAGCAATAAGCTATTAAGACATTAGTCCTGTGTTTGTATTAGGAAACAAGGTTTTGTGAACACCTCTAACAGTGCATTACAGAAGGATCCCAGAGCTCTAGTCTTTTTCACTGCTTGTGCACTGGCTTTGAACAAAACCAAGTAACTGGAGTTTTGGCAGATGTTTATGAGACTTGGCAGTTACCTCATTTATTAAGACAGACTACTTTAAAACTTAGAAGGGTATCAAGTGTGTGTAGAGTAAAAGTTTTGCCTATGGCAAGTCTTAAATGCACCAACACAATCATGTTTGTGCACATATATGCTAGTAAGTACAAAATCTTTTAAATTACAAACAAGATCTGAGAAGAAAATGTTTTCTGTCTAGGTGTTTGGCAGTTATTAAATAAATGCAGCAGTGTCCCATGTAATTGCTTTCTAGCAATGAATTGGGACATCATAAAAAACGCCACTGAGTTAAAACAGTAGAAGGTTTTTTAACAAAGTGTCATAACTGTTGGTTGTTTTAAGCAATTGACAGTATCTTCCCTTCTGCTCACCTGCAAGACTTCTGAGTGTGTTTCAATTTCATCTTCTTCCTCTTTGTTCACACCTGAAGCAGCAAATGCCTCAAACTGGCTGAAGTCTGCAAAATTTGGCTGTTCTGGTATTTGTTGAGGTGAGGTATTGGTATGAGCTATTAGGCCTTCAGCATCTACTGGGCGATGCACATGAGGACCTGCACCCTGTAAAAAAAAAACAAACAACAAAAATAGTGGCAATGTTAACATAGGTATCCGATGCAAAGAATCTTGCCAAAAACCAATTGGTCACAGAATGATAAAGATTATTTGCCTTTTTAGTGGACAAAGATTTATGTCCTGTCAGTAGGACAAAGTGCATCTCATCCAAGGCACAAATAGACAAATGTGTTAATAGACAAATATTTAAGAGAAAAGGAACCTCAATCAGATGTGTTATTACTTAGTCTAGTTCCATAAGAAAACATGCTAATGTGATCGCAGTGAATGGAATATGCCTGTCACTGTAGCCTCTTTCCTTGCACTGACTGACTTGAACTGCTGTTTAACACAGATTCTAACAAGTCGCTGCTGCTCAAAAACAACTGAAAAGCAATTTTATCTGTCCTATGTTAGATCTTCACAGCAGTCGAACGATTCAGCTGGTTGAGACAAAGAAAAAACAACTTTTCTGGGATTTGTTTTCACCAAATCAGCTAACTGAACTGACTGAGACAAAGACTGCAAAAATTACCAAGTCTATGACACAGGAAATGGTACAATCACTCCTTTTGGGAGCAGACATGTTATATACAACTATATCCTGTGCCAGATACAGATGGAAGACAACACTCATTTTGCAAAACAGGTCAAGAAATGTAAAAGTATAACTTTCCTTTCTTTCCTACACTTTAGAGCTCCAGAGCCACTCACTTCTCCTTAATGTCTACTTTAATCTGTTCCCATTGTTCCACCAGAAGCAATGTGTTATTCAGGAAGGGCTAACATTTGGCTCTAGTCTAGGTTTTGCAATCATTCACATCTTGGCAGTTTCAAAAAATATCAAGCAATACTACTCATTTTAGAGATAAATTAAAATTCAGTTAGATAAAAATGATGCACCAAGTTAAGAGTAGGATTTTTCAAAAATGACATCACCTGTGAAGGCTGTGGTCTTGGAGGCACTGCAGGGGGATAGGCAACAACTCCAGCCTGTTGCTGTCCTGTAAAAGAGGCATCTCATTTGGCCAAGACTGTTATTCTTCATGTTACAGTGATACCTATTTTTTTGGCTTATCAGCATGATGAAATCCTACATTTTGCCTATAAATTAACCCATCATGTTGAGGACAATAACTGTAATGTCACCTCCTTTCAAATTTGCAAACAGACAAAACAAGGTATGAGAACCTGGATCTTGTCCTTTGTTCCAGCTCAAAGTACAGACATGATCCTAACTTTTCTGTTCTTTTTTTTTTTTTTCCTTTTTTTCCTTTTATAGTCACTTAACATTTTCTCATTCTTCGTGATCCTGAATTAAGAAGTACTGACAAGTCAGAAGTGCAACAAAAACGCTTAAGCAGAGCATCAGACATTACCTTTAATAATCTCCTCTGAAGTGAATACTTAACACCCATCTCTAATAGAACTTATACCAAAAGAATTATCTTGAAAATGTACTGGCAGATGCAATTCTTTGCATGAGGGTGCACTAACAAAATGTTACTTCCTGACTTTGCTTCCCATATTCATCTGAAGGACTACAATGGCAACACTCAGAATTTACTTCTAAATTATCTGTGTAAGCGAAGTGGAGTACAAATTTTAATTTAAACAGGAAGAGTGACAACATTTTCAGCTTCTTCATTCAGAAGTAGTGTTTTAAAAACACTCTGAATCTTTCTTCAGTGGAAAAAAACCACCTGTCTCCTTCAGGAACATATGTGCTGAAAAATAATAAAGACTAAGAACACAGTATATCTACCTGGGGTGACTGAAAAGGATCTGTTCATATCTAAAGATGATGATCGAGAATGAGACGGATGAGGCCTTGGAGGGGGTGGCGGTGGTGCAGTGTTATCTGGAGATGTTCCTGAATGGGATCTGCAAAAGATAAAAGCTTCTGTAGTGATTTCAGGCAGCTACAGCTAAAATTCAAAGTTCTTCAAAGTATGTAATTAAAAAATCAAGCTGGACAGATGGAAAAGAGCCCAACTATCACTGATTTTGAAGACTGCAAAATTGGTTTTAAACTTCTGGTATTCTCTGTTTTCACACTGGTTTTTATATTTCCATTTAAGTAAATCTCCATTATCCAAATTATTCTTATATTACCATGAGTAATTTATCTTTGGGAAACCAACAGCTTGATATACATCCCAAACAATGATAGTTCAGGAACAGAGAATCCTAAATATGGTAATTCCATCCAGATGGTAGTCTTTATAATTTGCAAAGTATTTAAGATGAAGTCAATATCCTGATTAGGTTTTAGAAGGGTTCAAATTCAATGTCACTGAAGAATATTAAGTTTCTGTTCGACCTGCCCCCAGGTGTATCAAGGATATAATCCGAGTGTATGAGATAGCTATTTAATACTCTGCCTGAAATTTCCCAAATCTATGAGTAGCAACTTCAGAAATTTTAAATCATTCTTAGGTAGGATCACCATCTAGTGGATACCTGTTGTAAGTTCATTGAGCACACATGCAAAAAGAAGGATATAAGTGGGATTTATTGTCCACAGAATTTTTGTAGAGCTTCCATTTAAAAACAACTTGCAGAAACCTTCTAACTAGTCCAACTTATGCAAGACAGACTTACTGAATCACTGACATAAACACAGCTACTCTTTTATTCAAGTCATTAACTGATACAAACTCCTCTGTGAATGATTTCTGTAACTTTCTTCTTTTGTCATCGGATGAAAAGGCTAGGAGGGGTAAGAGGTACCTAAGTTTCACACAAAACCTGAGATTCCTGCATATGTAAGCCCAGACAGAAAACAGAGTTATCACAATAGAAAAATCTGCTTCCTTAATATACTCTTCAGAACAATGCTTCTTGTAACACTGTGTAACTCTTCAAATACACAGTCTAATTATGTTGACTCTGGGTCACATCTATATCTAGTCTAGTAAAAAGGCAGAAATAGGATAAAGGCAGCGAGTGGTCTAAGGACATTCCTGAAGTATCATTATCTGACACAGTGTTGCCAGTTTTTCCTTTTTGAAAATACAGAAAGTACTCTGGACTAATGGTAGGGTTAAGGACAATGTAATCTCTATAGAAAAGTTGCTATTGGTAGAAGAGATCAGTGGAAGGAAATAAAAGATGTGGGAGAAAAATTTCCTGGGTGCACCCTGCCAGAATTGCCAGATCTGGAGAGAAGCTACCTGTGCCACAAAGTGGAAACTTCACCAGAAAGCTCTGCTCATGTACACAAGTTCAGCAAGAGAACCCAATCCAAAATGAGATGAAAACATGCGTTGAAATCATCATGTTGATAGTGCAAAAAATACACAGAAGCAGGAGAGACAACCAGATTTACCACTGCGTATCAATGAAGGAAAGAAGTTTTCAAGGTCCTGTACTGTAAGGCAATTGCAAATCTTTCTTTGCTAGTCGTCATCTTAATTATTTTTGTTTTGAAACTTACCTCTGAAACTGATTGTACGATGGTTAATGGCATAGCTGGTTTTTAATCCTATTTAGGCAGATTTAATGGGAACAATTAGCACCAGCTAGTACAGCACATTCTCTTACGTCAAATGACACAGCTTTGGTTATGTGCTTGCTTAGCTTCCTCCAGTCCCTTAATTTCAGTTGGGCCTATGACTGCCCTTCATACTATAAAAGCCCATTACTAAAAGAGACTGAGTTACTGCTGTGGTATTTCTAATTTATGTTTTATTCCTCTTTTGTGGTACAAAGTCAGAAGGTCCTTAATGCCTAATGGCTATTTTTTAAAAGAGAAAAAAATTATTTCAAGGACCATCATGATCTCCCCTGTGTACATTCTTCTCTGCTTAAGGAAAAAATCTTTATCAATATTTCTAACTGAGTATGGAGTTTTGTTTGACTGGCCAATCCCAAACAACATTTTAGACTACACCGTTTTCTGAATTTTCACTTTACACATTAACAGGAGCAGGATAGATTGTTAATGCATAAAAAACCAGACTGCCTCCAGATTCTCAAGCATTAAAAGAAGCAGTTTAGCCATCGTTTTACAAGCTAGTTGAAAAACAACCAGAAGCTCAAAACAGGCTCCATTAAACACCTTTTATTTTTCTGTTGCTGCTCTACTGACCGTTGCCGTATTACGGTGCTTCCAATTTGCTCTGGATCTGAAGTATAGGAGTCTGAACTGCTGTAACCATCTGCTGGCAAGAGAAAGTACAAAGTTTCATGTTCATTTTGCATCATTAATATATCCTAAACATACACAGGTAATTTATAATTTCAAAGATCCAATTTTTGTTTTTAAAGAAGGTTTACGTCCTTGTATTGCTTCCCTGTGAAGTATCATATGGGCAGGATTAAAAATCCTTTAGTCTGAGTAATTTCAATATATACTTCATATCAGAAATGTCTCTAAAGTTTACCTCATTTTAGAGCTGTTGTTATCTAGCAAGTTTTCATTTGCTGAAGAATATCAGATCTACATTTTGCATAATGTAAAAAATCAGATCAGAAAGTGCTTTGCTACTTACTAACTGTATTTCCAGCTGTGAATTTTACAGATGAACTCATTTTGTTTTCTTCTGGGAGATCAGGTGGTTTCACAAGTAGTGGGCTAGTAGGGTTAGCATGATCTAGATGGAAAAACAATCCTAATAAACAAAGATATTCAAAGTAGCCTTTACTTCTAATGCCAAAGCTTTGATTTAGTTTTCTGCCTTTTGCTGAGGTGACTCAAGACTAAAACTGTCTTGCATTTCAACACTTTTGGGGTAAGAATTATTTTAACTTTGAAGTTTTATATTGTAACAGTGTTATTTTTATTTCTCAGCATTTACAGTTGGGAATATTCACCTATGTACAAGGCTAATGAAATTTTAAAAGAAACGTGCTTAATATTCTGCATGAGTTACATGACTTCAGAAGAACAGCCGTATAATGGGATATATCTGTAAATTGAGACTACACTGTTTCTCAAGGAAAACTATCAAACCACTTTGCTTATTTTTGACTAGAGTATTAAAAAATAATTTTAAAAAGGCCTAATACTCCCAAATACTGTCAAGTTTCAAAAGAATAAACTCAGTAACTCTGGCCACATGAGAACAAGCTTTTACAAATGCAGGCTATGTTCTCCATCTTCACAGTCTCCCTTCAGTATTTAATAAAGAAACCAGACATTCTCCCAGAGGTCCAAAACAGATCTGTATTGTGATGGTCCTGAACTATTCAAAGCAATTATCTCCTATAGATGGTGAAATGCACACTGTAGCAAATGGCTAATTCAAACACTGCATCCATCTGAACACTACTCTAATTCTTAATTCAGAGAATCTCATTAATTATGCCAGTTATAACTCCAGATATATTCACGTAAAGAGAAGAAAAAAACCAGGATGTTTAAGGAAGAAAACCCAACTCTAGTTTTACAAAATCTTCCTCATTTGCAAGAGAAAATATCCTACCACTTCCAGTTCTTTTAAGCTCCATTTCCTGCATGTGGATTTTGCTTGGAGTCATTCTTATTGGAACTGGGTGTACAATTGCAGTATCCTGTGGAAGAGATTAGTTAAGTAATGTTAATCTCATTTTAAATTATTCTATTAAGAGTCTCTGACACCATGCAAAATGCAATTTCTAAACAAAATTTCATTATTTTTTAAATACAGTTTCAGGGAATGGAATATACTTAAAAACAAAGCTCCATAAGCTGAAGTTTCTCTCATTATTTATAAGGTTCAACCTAGCATACTACCATAAAATGGCACTAGAAATGTTTCTATAGATTACTGTGTTGTTAACAGGACCTGGATTTTACCAGCTTTCCACCATTTCCAGAGGCTGGAGCACCTCTCATATCAAGACAGGCTGAGGGACTTGGGGTTGTTCTGCCTGGAGAAGGGAAGGCTCTGAAGAGACCTCATAGCAGCCTTCCAGTAGCTGAAGGGGCTACAGGAAAGCTGGGGAGAGGTTTTTCACACAGGTGTGGAGTGATATGACAAGGGTAATGGTTACAAGCAGAAAGAGGATAGATTTAGATTAGGTATTAGGAAGAAATTCTTTCCTGTGAGGGTGGTGAGACACAGGAACAGGCTGCCCAGAGTAGTTGTGGCTGCCCCATTCTTGGAAGTGTTCAAGGTCAGGCTGGATGGGGCTTTGAGCAACCTGGTCTATTGGGAGGTGCCCCTGCCATGTACAGGGGTTGGAAATACATGATCTTTAAGGTCCTTTCCAACTTAAATAATTATTTGATTTTTGTCATACCAGGTATCTGTTACTTCAAGTGCATCTTAAAAAAACCCAAACAATTTCAACCCCCCACGCCTCAGCTTTACTTATGATACCTCAGAAAGCTATGGCCTCTTTAAATAAGTGTGCATAATTCTCCACAAAGTAAGGTAACTTTGTAGCAGTTTAAGACGAATAGTTTTAGGAGTCTTCAAAACAGTAAAATCTTCTAAACTTCAGTATAACAAGCCCTAAGGATTTTACCTCTAGATAAGTGTTGATTTTACACTTTGGCATTTTCTTTGTAGCTGAGACAACATGTTCCATTTTAATGAACCTAATACAGCCCTTTCCCCTTGGTTGGGAGACTGAGTGCAAATAGCTTAAAAAAAGAAATCTCAAAACTTCGATGTTTGTTCTCAAGTAACCTAAAATATGGGCATAGATATTTGAGGTTTTTTTACTGTCACTTCTATCAAGAATGTATGAATGGGTGGGACAATGACAGCACAAAACATATCCCAAATTACATTCTGCTCCTAGAAATAATACGAAGTTTCAAAGCTACTCTTGTATCAGAAATTTAATCTGTCCTAATCACTCAAATAGATCAATTTCACCAAGCACAATACATTTACATTAATCTTTTCTAAAACTGTTTAAAGTGACTTGCATTACACTCTTGTTGCAAATATAAGCTTTTCAAAAAAACTTTCTAGTCACAGCTCAAGCACTCTTGTTGCATCAGGCTTTTATACTGCTTTGAAATATCTTGCAATTTTCTTTCCCCTTGAGTGGCATTATCATGCAAAGACCACTCTTGCTGTACCTACTTCAGTCCTCTACTGTAATCTAACGTGCAGCTACTACAAAAGTAATTTCTCCAACAGGTAAATGTTTTTTTAATGTAACGTTATTCATTCAGAAAATTAATCTAATTTTACATGAAACAACTTAACATACTACCAGCTTTCACTTACAATACACAAATTATGTTTCTATACCAGGGGATAAACGCACTGTTTTACTTTCTACTTATCTTTTACTGCCAAAGCAGCTGATTTCCCAGAAGAAAGAGAGAAGAGTAAGTCTATAAATTTACTCTTTAGTTAGTCATTAACAACTGCTCAAGAAAGCTGATTCTCTCCTTTGGGAAACAGAAGTTGTTCAGTAAGTCAGTCCTATGCACCACTGTTGAGGCTGCTAAAACAAGTCTGCACACTGCCACCAAATACTTGCTGTCATTTATTCTTATTTTCCTATGAAAATAAAGACTGTGAAGTATCTGTTCCCAAAGTCTGTTACCTTAGCAAGCATCAAGTTCTCTTGCAAAGTTTCCTATTATTTAAAGTTTTTTCTCAATTAGAAGCACTGTGAGAAAACAATTCAAGAAAATTCTCCCAGTACATTTTTCATTTTTCTGCTGAATTTGTTTGCACGTATACACATGTACACACATATAAACACACAGAGCTACGAGTTTTCCATAAATTATCACTGTTCTACTTTTCAGATTGTCAACATATGGGAAAAAACTTCAGATTTCTGTAATTTCCTAATTATGTGTAAAAATAAATTATCTTCTTATTGTGGAAACAAGACAGTGTTAGCTCTTTACTGCCAAGCAATTATACACACTAAAAAACAACTATAAACTGGTTTCCATCATGTTTACTTCATTAAAGCATAAAAATGTAGTAAATTTACACCAAAAAAAGTGTCTCTAGGCTGAAAAGGACAGGTTTTCACTTTTAGTATGACCCTGAACTTTGAATGTTTACTAAGGACAACTCTGAGCACAGGAACAGTACAGTTGAGTTCTAGTTTACAGCATCTTGAAATGCCATTTCCACCTAAATATCAGTGTTAACTCAGAGTGGAGAACTAACGTATTTAAAACATACATGTATTTATGTCTTATATCTTTTCAGAAGTGACCTTAGTCTAATATTAAAAGCAGTTAAATGTGTATTAGTCACACTTATTATATTTTGTTATATAGTCTAATGGACACTAACACCACAATGAAATAAAAATGGATATGAGCAGTGGTAATTAAATCAGTAAGAAAAGCAGGATGAAAGCAGCAGCTTAAAATACTGCAGTAATTTTAATACATTTCAGACTGCTTCAAAGTCATATGCTGTGAAGTTTTAAAACAGCAGAACTTCAAACACTAGCAAACTTGGCTCCCAAACTTGGTAAGATATTTAACTAATCCTTCAGAGCACTCTTCACCAAGTAAAGCATAAGAACAGCACAGGTTTAGCTGGAGAAATACGAAAAGCCTTGTAAGTAATTTGGTGAAAACATTAGGAGTATGAAATATCACACTCACTAAAGACCAGCATTTTTTTTTTCAGTGATGTTGTACATTCAGCTCCTAAAAGTTCATGCAAATAAAGCTCTGCAACTTGAAAGCTATAAAAACACTGAAGACAATCTAAAATGGGATCTGCTTGTCACTGGCAGTGGCCCTTGTATTAGCTTACAAATATTTTCAAAAAAATCATTATGTTCAAATACTTTAATAAGGGTTTTGACAGCATCCACTTGGTATTACATCAAAATCAAGTGAAAAATGCATTATTTGCACTCAGATCTTAAACATGAGCTGCACTAGGAAATTTATATTCCTAAAAGAAGGAAAAAAAAATTTAAAAAAAATCAAGAAGCCTGCCACCATTTCCCAAAAAGCAGTCCATGGAATCATGCATAACAGCTAAAAACGATGAATGGAAATTCAGTGTTAATGAAATTAATTTCAAACAAGCAAGCTAAGTGATTGACTTACAGGATCAGCTGGTGCAATGTTAGAATCAAATTGGGTCAGAGTTTGTGAGCTTGAAGAGCGTTCGCTAAATGTCTCCCACTGCTGAACAGACAGAGGAGAGAAGTCAGCATGATGAGAAAGATGGGAGTAAAAGATCACTGAGGAGATTTAGCACAGTAGTTTGGAGGTTGCACTGGGAAGCACTACATTTGTGCTGGACAGTACTTGACTTGGAAAGCACACTGATAAACTCATATTTCTATTTTAGCCTGAGATTGTTGTGCACCCAGGTTTGTTATCTGTCAGTATTGATCTTTGCATTCACATTTCACAATGAAGATACGGGTGTGCAGTCAACACAAGTACCTTCAAAGTTCATGTTTGCCAATGAAAATAATACAGGTTAAAAAAAACTGTCACATTCAAATACTGCATTCATATATTGCAAAGATAAGACCAGTGACACATTTTGTGCACATTTGTAATTTTAAAACCCAGAGAAAGGTCTTTCAGCTTTGTAGCTGCCAAGTTTCAAACGTATTTTGTAAACTAAGATTTTCTTAGAAAATCCCAGACAAAGGAACACTGAGCAGAGTACTCCAATTACAAAAGTTCAGCTTGCCAGTGCAACCCCTGAGAAGTGATTCTATGCTGTAAAATAGTATTTTTACAAGTCTAAATCACTGTCAAGGCAAAGAAACAAATTCAAACATACTTTTGATTGCTACAAGCAAATAAGTCAATCTCTGAACAATTTTATAAGATATAGGCATGCTGTATCAATACATGGTTGCCAAGAGTTATTTCATGCTTAGCAAGTCAAACTACAGCCTCAACTGGATCAAACAAGTACCAAAGCACATACATAGTCTCTGATCCAGAAACCAGATTACAAATCACAACAGGAATACTAAGCTTACTATATTTTGGTAAAATAAAATGTAAATATGAAACACTACAACAAAAAATATAAATACAAATCTTTTAGTGATCAGAAAATCTGAAAAAAAAAATCATTAAAATAGTTGTGAAAACAAATTAATATTTTTGTCCCATCTGTACAGGCAAATTAATGCAAATGATTCCAGAAGATACAGGACAAACTGCCTGGTGATAGTCAACCTGATCGCATGTGTTCCTCTACACTGAGCTATATTCAGTGAACGGCCTGTACCCGTACCTAGTCTAAAACCATTATTTCAGAAATAACTCCTAGAAATTCCTAAGTAACTGCTTTCAATCAGCTGAAATTACATTCAGAAAAATACCAACTAAATTTGTGACTGCTTTCATAAGTGGTGCTCCTAGAGCCAGAGCCTTATCTCCTCATATGAAACTTAATTAAGGCAAAAATTATGGGATACTGTTCATATTTATTTTTTGGGGGTGGGTGTTTTGTTGCTGTTGGGGCTGTTTGTTTTAAACACACAAAACTACCCCCTTAATGGACAGAATCTAACAAAACCTTTTTAGTAAGGATGTAAGGTTTCCCCTTCCTATCTGGTCTGTCTAACTCCCTTTACTAAACCTCATCTGTGTCACTCAGAAGCAGCACTGCAAGTAGTCTGGAGCTATACAAACATGTTGACGGAACCCATTTCTACCAAGTCAGAAACTTCATGGTCAAGTTCTGCCAGTCTTTCCCCTGACTGGGCCTCTTGTGTTTACACAGCTGCTCACTTTTGTGAAACACGCATTAATATTTATTTTAGGACTACTACTAACCTTTTAAATTTAATTTGGCCAGCAGCAAAGTTGCCAGTGAGACTGGCAAACACACCATTTAATAACAGAAACAGCTTTTTTAATTTTTTCAACTTCCAGCATCTATGTTATATTTAAGATCTATGTTAAGGTATCATTTTTCAGAAATGGATGTTGAATTTACCTCTTATTCTATTCCTCTGATGCCAAACTGCATGACATTTTTAACTTGTCCTCAGGCTCCCCAACTGGGCACAGACAAATAAACGCCAACACCTCCTGACTGCTCAGGGGAACAAGCTGTTTGTGCTCCATCTTGAAATACTACCAGAAACTAGTTACTGCTAATTGCCTGGTTAATAGAAAGCTACACATATTAAGGAATTACTGGATTGCATCTCAAACTCTGTGAAAGGTTTAAGGGCATTGACAATACAACTAACTGGCTAGCATAAAACTCACACTAGCTGAAACTAAAACACTTGTCTTCTAGACTTGCAAAAATGTTTCAAAAATACTTTCAAAAGATTAATTCCTAAAAAACCTAAAACTCACAACAACCTAAACCCTTGGTGAAAGAACACCAAGAGATCTGAAGGAGGGTGTAACAGTGTGAACTCAAAAGCAAATCTCTACACTTGTGTCAAAGTAAATACGACCACATGACACTCAGCTGTTTTGAAAAAAAAAATTAAAAGGCTTCTCAATTTTCTCTAGCTCTCCTAACTGGAGTGCCTTGACATTGGATGGAAAAGATGTCTGAAGTGAGAAATTGATGAGAAAAGAGATAAGAATGTGAAGCATGTAGGATCTAGAGTTAACTGGACTTTCATGGTGCCCTTCATTTGAAGCTTGAGATTGGTGCATTGGTTCATACTTGTGAGCTAACAGTAACTTGAGTCTGGCAACTTCAGTCTAAAAATCAACTATAAGCTATAAAGAACAAAGTTGAAACTGACTGGGATGAGGCTGCTGGGAAAGGCAGATGATCCAAAGATGCATAGCTTTTTCAAGAAATTCTTTTGTTGATGACAGTTATAAGAGGTTCAAAGAGGAAACAATTAGATTGGTGCCTGCAGGAATACCAGAGATTTTTTCATGTCATTAAAACCTTGAGGACTTTGACCTGACACATGCTGAAGAGAAAATGCTGAGAAGCAAGAAGCATGCACAGCAATATAGCTGAAAAACAGAAATTCCTCTGTGTTAGAATGAGAAACTAAACATTTAATCAACATTCAACTCTAACTTTAGTATAGTTAGTACTTGGTAGTATATTTACTGTGAGAACTTTTTCAAACCTCCTAAAGTTTTAATAGATTCTCAGAAAGAAAACACCACATTATCTATCTGAATGGACAAAGTTTTGTAAGACAAGATTTTGGCTGATAGAGAATTGTCATTAATACTACTAATGCAATTATCCCATTCAATTGATTTGAGCTGCACGTGACCACGAAGCAATCTCCAATTATGATGCAGTTTACCAAATGATTAGCATGTTGACTCTTTGTTGCAAACATGAGGGAACGTATCAATGCAAATTTTAATACAGTTGCAGACATCTGCAGCTTTTCAGCAACAACTGATTAACTGCTCACCTCCCTCCTTAAACACAGCTTCCTACCAGCAGTCTAAGAGTCACTGTCAAAAAGGACAACTAGGAATCACAATTTCCTGCATTTTTTATTTGGTAAGGACATCACTGAGATGCTAGTATTTGCCCTTAAAAGGAAGAGTAGATTTTACAAAGTCCTTAGTCCTGAAAGATGATTTTTTTTTTTTTTGCTCCTAACTTTAATCCTAAATATTTGCTTCTTCTCTGTTTCATACTGACACTCCTTCAGTTTGTCTAAATCTTTTATTATCATTCTATTCATGTGAAGTCTAACAAAGATAGAAAAAAGAAAAAAAAGGCTCTTTCATAACAGAAGCAGGTAAGACAACATTCAGGTGCTGTCAGGGCTGAAGATATTAAGTTTTAAATTGTTCTTGAAAGTCTCAGATTATTAAACGTTTTCCATAAATAATTTCAATACTTTTTCCTTTTTTTTCCTTTATAATGGAAAAATAAGCCTACATCATCTTTAAAGTATAGCTGCAGTAAGGAACTCAGTTGAGTCTCTGAAGTAGCTCTTAGAATAAAACATTGGTTTATTCTTAGTCACAAAGGCAAAAATGTTAAGACAAAGCAACAAGAATCAATGCCCTACGGGTTTTTTAAACAATAGACATTTGTGGGGAAAAAGTCCTGTTTGGTATTTTCAGTTTCAAATTCTGACAAAATATAGTTTTACTATATAAGACTCCTTATATAGCAAATACGTAAGTTAAGAATGATAAGGGCATGTTAACAATAGGACAAGAGGTAATGGTTTCAAGCTAGAAAGAGGTAGATTTAGGCTGGACATTAGGGAAAAGTTATTTAATATGAGGGTGGTAGATCACTGGAACAGGTTGCCTAGAGAGGTGGTGGGGGCCCCATCCCTGAAGACATTCAAGGTCAGGCTTGATGGGGCTCCCAGCAATCTGTTTTAGTGTGACATGTCCCTGCGTATTGTAGGGGAGTTGGACTACATGACCTCTAGAGGTCTCTTCCAACCCAGAACATTCCATGATTCTACAAAGCAGCAGTCCATAACAGTAACAATTTTAAATTTGAATAAATTTAGTGAGCGGTTAGCTTCAGATTCAACTTCACATCTTTGCTTCTGAAACAAAGCCAGAGCTATGACTTCTCTACATTACTGGTGATATATTTTATATTTCAGGGTAAAATCACCTCCGGAAATAAGTCTCAATGTCCAGATCCATCAGATATTTATTTTGAAGCTTTGCCAAAGTGTTGGCTATAAAAAGGCCATCAGAGTTAACAACGAAACCCAATCATAAACCTACCCTGAATAACAAAGATTCACATTCTCCAATAAACTATATGACAACATTTTGTGATTAATATAAAGCTTAATTACTACTAATGGCAACATTTTAAACAGTAGTTCATTTCACAGTGAGACAGAAAAACCAGGAAGAAAACATTACCTGTTTTTACAACTAAACATGTGTAGAACCTTCCTGTGTCCTGCTAAACTTTTTCACATTTTTTGATGAACATTCCACTCATGATGAGTTATGGATGCATACATAATTTAGTTATTGACTGGCAATCAAATAGCTCTTAAATAAAAGTGCTAACCTCACTGCTCTGATTCAATTCTGGCCAGGTCTGGTTTAGGGATGGCATTGATGGAGACTTGCTTGGAGGTGCTTCTGCTGGAGAGCTGGAGTAACCTACCTCACCAGTCTGTTCCCCAACTTCTGAAACGACAGGAATCACTATAAACCAAAATAATGAATTGCATTCAGTTTATTCTCAGAAAAGCTGCTCACATCCCACAGAAAATACAAAGAACCCTTTGGTTTAATTTTTTCCAATGAAGTACTTAGCTGCTGACAAAAACTCATTCAAGTCAAATATACTATTTATCAGGTGCTATTTTGAGGATCTTTCTAAAAAATTGACTTTAGATATTACTCTGTACCATACTATCTCCCAGTACTTTGGGTTTGTTTTTTTTTTTTAGATTTTGCTAACATATAGAAATATACAGTTTTCTTATATTATGAGAAAATAACTTAACACTAGAGTTTATGACATTGAGAACCAAGAAGTTAATCTTAAAGAATACTTCGTTATATAAGAGATTAAAACAAAACCAGTGTATCAATGCAAGCACAAAAAATATGAAAGCCATTCGCTTAGAATACTACTCAAGAACATTTTGTTTTAAGCCTCCTTGCTGGAATAATGGTTTTTCCATAAAATCAATTTTGCAAATTTAACAAGTCTAGCAGCTGTGACATTGTAACTACATTGTTAGTGTTATTTCAGTTTTCCCAGAGCTTTCAGCAGGTACAGTCCTATGCAGCAAAACTCTGAGAATTCTACAGATTTTCATGATGCAGCACAGTTATTTTCATTCTGTTCAAACTATGAGAGAATTGGGTAAAGAAAAGCTGAACAGCAGATTAAGCATTCTCCATTAACACAGTAAAATCCTGTCTTCTACTCTGCTAGATAGCATAGTACAAGCTAAAGCAATGAAAGCCTCAAAAACCTCAAGTTCAGAAACAGGAGGAACAGATAAGAGTGGCTAATAAGAATCTAGAAATTTTAAGATGCTTGTAGTTCAAAGAATTAAAACTCTAACCAAGACAAAATACTGCACAAGAGGAAAGATTGCTTAAATTACCATTTAAAAGGTCTGTGTGACAGATAATATAATTGAACACGACTGCCACAAGAATGTGTGATACACTACCAAAAATTGATTGAAATCTAAGAAAAGGACTTGCTGCAGCCTCCTGAAGAGCTGAACTTTGCAGTGTGCTCTTCTGCTCTGACAGCTCAATATTCTGTCTGCTATCTTCCCTTCAGAAGAAACTCGTAACAAATCTGCTGTCAAACTGAGCTGTCTGCTTTGCAGGTGCGGAGGACACCTGTATATGGTGGGGTAAAACTGAGACCAACAAAAATTTCCAGTTGGGAACACTTGAATAGTCAATGGTGAAGAACTGCACCTTTGAAAACCAACAACAATCCCTTATTGTCTCTAAAGTGTTGCTGGGCACAGCAAGAGGCACAGCCTAAAAAGAACAGCCAAAATGCTTAAGTCTAGAAAGAAATTGTCCATCTTAAGGCCAAGGGAGGCTGAGGTACTGTTGACTTGAAAAAAGCTGCACATATAAGCCAGTAACTCAAAGACTTCAAAGGCCTTGCAAACTTCCTGTAAATAGCCAGGAATCAGACTGAGACTCAGTATTGCCAAAATTATGTCCAGCACCTAGAACCTCATAGTACAGCCCTTTAGGGAAAATGGCTTTACAAATTATTCAAGACAAAAATTGTATCTAATACCTGTTTCAGGTAAAAAGCAACTGGCAAAAAAGAAAAAAAAAAAAGGCTACAATAAGCTGATGCTTACAGGTACACTGATGTCACCAAGTAGTCAAGATGACACAGTGGTCATTGTACACAAAATACTATATGAAATTCAAATACACCAATGGTAATGCTTTTGTAATGCGCACTGCATGTAAATTGCTCTGAAGTGTACTACGAATAAACATATTCTAATGAATTAAAGAAACACTTTAAATTCTCATTTCAATGGGGGTGCACCAGATAGCTGAACTCATTGCTAGTTTTAAACACAAGGGCAAAAAAGTAAGGCTGAAAGCTGCTGTGGATAGACTATGCAGCTATCTGTAATTGAAGAAATTTTGCAAATACTGACATGAAACACGAGTAAGACACCTATGGAAAACTTCAGGGGTTAAAGTAATAAAGTTGTGTAAGACAAAGTACGGCAGATACCTTTTCTTACAAAGAAATTACATTGTTGCAGCAGCACAAACAAAAACATTCACAGATAAGCAAAACTTGCTTTTAGTTTTGTAAAGGTTTGGTGGCTTTTACTAACTGAGATAAAACTGAGTTGAAAGGAAAGTATTCAGATCTATTTACATCATAGAAAATGACAGTAGCACTCTTCAGCTGCAGAACATAAATTCTGCCATGACAGATGCTATCAACAGCATTCAATTATAAAATAAATGTATAAGCACTTAGAGAAGTATTTGTACAACAGCCTGACTTCATGCTCCCATTTCCATTCACTGCAGTTTTTTTCTATAGGCTGTTCTTACACAAAGCTTGTTCATTCTGAAGAGCTGACATTACCTATCCATAAATACCTCAACACAATGTTAAATCTTAAGTGGAGCTACTGCAATCCAAACAGTTCTTCCAAGTACAACTCAAAACCATCTGAATATATTGTAGAATTACCATATTATTCTAAGAACTTGCAACACCTCATTTTTCTCCCTTGTCAGCAAAAAGATATTAGCACCTTATTTAACATGTGAATGTATTAAAATTTTATAGGGGCATAGTGCTATACCTGAAAAATGACCAACTATATAGATGCTTTATTATACAATACGTCTATCAGGTGAGATAAATATGTATCATGAAACCAGATGTAAGACAAGACCAATATGTTAATGGGTTAGGGACACCTGCAGTTGGTCACACAACAGATTCACAGAGGCTCATGAGGGAAACAGCAGATCACAAGAGGTATAGGGTGCATGGAGCCTCTGCTAGTTTTCTTTCTGCTGGCCACTAGTTCAAAACTCAAAATGGAAAGCAACAGCAAGTTTCAAGTGCAGTGCAGAAGCATGGAAGATCAAGGAGTACATTTCTAACAAAAGGACAGAATAAGGGTATTGTTATCATTTCTGAAATTGTTAACCACCTTGCATATTGGTTTAAAAAGATATTAAAGTAATTCACCTTCTTGAACAGTCTGAAATTATGTTATTCATACTGAGGCTTCAGTCAGCAGGAGATACTAACAATTTTTTTGAGAAAGTCATATCCCATGAAAAAAAGTGGACCTAAAAAGATACTTCAGTGCCCTTACTTTACAGTTTTAAGTTCTGAGAAGGCTGTTGGAAGCAACTTCAATTGAACTACAGCTTTTATGAGAACTAAAACAAAAAAACTATTACAGACATTTAACTGGTATCTTTCTAGGCTGATTTACAGTCTTTAAGTGGAACTCACGTAATTATAGTTTGCTCACAGACCTATGAATAGCTTTTAATTTAGATTAGAATAGGAAATGTAGACTGGAGATTGGGACTGCTGTAACTACAATTAGGAGAAGTTATTGACTTGACTATGGAGTCCTTTATTCAACATATTAGCTTTGCTGATAAATAAATCTGTTAAGTGCTAGAAAGGATTTGCTATTTCCAATACTGGTGGCCCAAATTTAAACAAACAAACAAGTTAATTGGCTAAAACTCTTCAAGTTTGCAAGAACTGTCACTTTTCATTGTAGCTAGTGATAACAGCAGAATCAAGCATCACTCAGAGCTTTTTTTTTTTTTTAAAGCACAGCTTACACAGTATGGTAACCTTTTAACATTCACCAGAACACGGTAACTTCCCTTTAATACTAGAGGGAAAAACATTTATTTTTTATTACTTTTAAAAATAGTTTTTCTAAAATTTAAAGAACACTTTATATCTCATAAAAATAAGTTTTACATCAGCAAAGTTGCCTGTAAAATTAAGAACAACATACACATAACACTTTTTGGTTTAATGTCCGATTTATAGTTTCCAGACAACTTCATTCAAATAATAAAAGCCTTGAAATCTACTACCAGAGGTAGACAGAAGAACAGGTACAGATACAGCAATTTTGTTGTTGTGTTTTTTTTTAAAAAACAAACAAACCCAAAACCTAACAATGTTTTATACAAAATCTATTCCATTTCCTTTATTTTTTTTGTCATTGCCTTAACACAAAAATAGAGTGGGCATGTTCTAGATGCTTGCTAGGTATTCACTGAACTAATTGTACGTATTTCTTTTGAACATCTTTGTTATAGTAAAATGCTTATTCATACTGAAAACACTTTTGTTGTGGCTGACTGCTGTTGGAAAGGTTCTTTGAAGAGCCACACCACTCCCACAAAAAGTGGCTTAATGATTAAAGGAGTGTTAGTAAAAGCCACAGTATCTAGTTGAAGAACTTGTCAATAATTCTCAGATGTAAGCCTTTGAGAGAACACAGTACACAGAGATTCCCTTTGAAGTCACTAATAAAAATAAATAAAATTCTAGGAAACCATAGTATCTGTGAACCCACAGTATAATATGACTTTCCAAGCAAAGACTGTTAAAACAATCTAAAGCATTTTTATGATTTTCCATTTGTCTGTTTTGAAATAAAAAATAAAGATGACCATAAGCTTCCTGTTTTTGAACAACACTTTTACATAGAAAAGTTATTTGCTTTTCATTTACAGGACTGAGCATTAACACATACATTCAGTGGTTTATCTGGGAGCATTCAAAGGTAAAAAACCATGCATAGAAAGACTAAGTGTCAAAGTAATGGAGGACAAATCACGCCGTCAAGTCCAGAGTAGAATTTAAAAGAAACAACTGTGCTACTGATCCTGTACTTTTAAACTACACAGTCCTACCTCCAGCATTGAATCTGTGAATATTTTCTAAATACCGTCAAGACTTAGAAACTTGTGTCATGTTTTCCAAAATGAGGGTGAACAGAAAGCATATTCATTTAAAAGGAAGTTTGAATTACAGTTGGATTGGGAATTTTGAATACAGCAGCTGATCATGAATAAACTCCATGCTGTGACAATCTTGTTTTCCTTAACCTTTGAAGCGCACAGGCAGTATCTCCAAATGCAACAGCCACTATGTGTACTGTTCGTAAGAAACATCTCCCTGTACAAAAAATATGTATGTGCTCAGATTAGCTCTAAGCAATGATTAAGATTTCTAAAAATTGCACATAGCTTCACTTCACACAGACTAATGCAGTATGCTCATACAAACCTATAAGTACTTGCTGATATACTGTAATCTTAATTATACTATCATTTGAATACAGTGAAATTTGTGTTGAAGCATGTCTTACCAGTTGAGTCTTCTAAATCAATCAGTTTGGGCATTAAACTTTCAGGTAACTTTTCTGGCAAATCATACCCATTCTTCCTAGCAACTACCAGATGAAATGCAGCACAGAACTCATCCAATGTCAGTGCACCATCTTTATCAAAATCTGAGAGTTCCCTAAAAAGGAAAACTTAGTTTAAGTAAAATTTCTTAAAGCTAATCTGTTTCCAACAGTCACATTTCTGTTGTGTTACTTGGAAGATAAAGAATGCAGTTTATAATTTAACACTTCATATTAGCACTACACGTTTTATTCTTCAAAGAGGGGCCTCCATTAGTATTTCTTGGAACTTGAAGACAATTCAAACTCACTTTATTTCTCAAGGTTTTCAACCTATTTAAGACAGTAAAACAGTATTATTTGCATTAGATTTTTGCCGAAGTATACTAGAGGAACAATAGTGCTGATGCAAACAGCTATTTTTAATAGGGAAACACCTGAATTAGAAATCATTGCACTGAAATAAGGACCAAATCTACCATGACCACATGCAGTGATGCAGCCTAGAATATCATGAAATTCAAGCTTTGCGCCAAGTCAAAGCTAAATTTGCCACCAAGTCCCACTAAGTACATTTATAATTATTTGCATCTGTACATTTAATTTAAACTTAGACTTGAATAAATATAGATGAAGAATTATTTAAATGCATATTTAACTTTAAAATCCTCAAATAAATTACTACTTACTCTGAAGTGTTTAAAATTTCTTCAAAAGCTCAAAATGCCATGTAAATAGTGCCAGCCTAGACCCATTAAAGCCCACTAAAATAATATTGGCACAAATGTAAGTAGAACTGAACATACCACAGTACTAGCAAAATTCCACTTAATAACACCTTCTGCTAAGTAGATCAGATGACTGCCAGATAGCTGTCATCTTTCTAAATAATTATCCTGAATAAAGACACATCACACTTACCAAATATGAGAAAGTTCAAGAATAGGTAGTTTTGACTTAGTGAAAAATTCTTTAGCTGCAGATCCTGAAAAATTACAACAACTATTTTTAGTATTTAAAACAAGTTAAATTATTAGAAGACTTAAGAGTTATGGTAAGGGAGATGAGCTATTTAGCAAAGGTTTTGGAAAAAACAGCACTAATTACTAGGGTTAAACAAAGGAGAGAGGCAAATAAGTCTCAAGTACTTTTTTGAATTACACTGGACTTTATTAGAACATTATCAGTAAAATGCTCAGCTTTCTTCAAAATGTTATGCAATCCTAAGTAAACAACAGTGTCTTTGTAACAGAAGTGCTGCACCCACAATTACATTTTTAAAAAATGTAACTTACCTGGTATAAATCCATTTAGATCAGGTTGAATGGTTTTAAACTGATTAACATAATACTGCCTTTGTTCATCAGTTATTTTCCAAGGGTCATCATAACTACTTGATTGCCTACGGATTTCATTTGTTGTTGTAGCTGATGCTACAGTTCGCACTGTTGTCTGGTCCTGAAATGAAATATTTTTCCTCAGTATTATCTACCTGAAATGCTTCTATGAATTCTCAACTTCTTCCTTTCAAAAAGTAAAGCACAGTTAGATCTCGCAGTAGTTTAAAAACTACAGGAAACTATCTACACATTGCATCTTCAGGGTAATGACTGGGTATTTTTGCACATTGACACATATGGATAGGAATGACTGCAGCTATGTAAGCAGAAAAAAAAAGCATGGTACATATGCAAAAAAAGCTAAACACAAATGTTTTAAAGTCATAATTCTTGACATGTTTTTAATTAGTAACTTTCAGTTTATCATTCAAATGAAGTCTACTCAATGAAAGAAATATCTGTAGGGTAAATAGCACTGAACAGGCTACAGCACAGATACACAGTAAACAAAAGAAAAAAAAGGATTGCAACATCAATCTGAATGAAGCAAATAAAATACCAATAAAGTGTCACACCTGGACAGAAGCAGGATGCATGGCTAAAAGAGCACTGGTTGGTGGGGTATCTGCAAAACTGACCCAATTTTCTTGATGGGGTGGTGGTGAATGCCCAGACCATATGGGATCACTAGAAGTAGATGAGCCTGAAAGTAGAAGAAACATGTCCTTTTCAAAAAGACAGCCTTGGAAACTGATTAAGAACTATGGGTATGGAGAGCAGTTAAAAAAAAAAAAAATTCCTTATGAAACACAAGGTCCTGTCAGGGAGTTACACACTTGAAGAATGTTGAAGAAAATGAAAACCAAACTGCACCACAGTGACAAAGTTTGCCTCCTCATGACTCCTGTAGATTTTTACATTAGGTCAGCTTTAATCTGTACTAGAAAGACAGAAGTGAGGCACAAGCTTATTGCGACATGTGTAAAATATAAATTGGATTTTACCCATTTAACAGGTTTGGAATGAGTTAATAATCCACATTTTCACTTAATGGAAACGAACAACACTTGTATGGGCAAACAGCTTAAAAGAGGGATGTGATACTTGCATGCAGATTTATCATTATTTTTATTTTTTTTTCTTTTTTAGGTTTGAGTTGGCATTCTAAGAACAAATTCCTTTTAGAAATCAGAGGTTTTGGCACAATTTTTTTTTCTAAATTATTTCTAGACTAACTTAATTCAATTGCTTAAGAACAGTCCAAGAATAATATCAAGCATCTCTATAAATTGCTTACAACTGCTATGCATTAACTACCTAGACCACAAGAAATGAGATTCACCAAGTGCCTTGTTATAATCTACTTTTGGAGTATTGCTGACATTCAACATCTTAATATTAATATTCCAAAGAAGGAACTATAGAAAGATTTAGCCATCTACTGCTTTATGTACAAAACTCTAAAAATTATCTTACACTGCAGATGCAAATTAAAAATTTTAGGAACTCTGATCTGAGGGAAAGAAAACCATCTAGAACAAGTCTAGAAGAATCCCAGGAATCCATTCTGTTCCTTGACTCCTAAAAGAAACACTGAGCTTCTTAAATCTAAATGGCAGTTGTGAAAATGATTACTTTTATCTACTCCTCTTGCACAATTAAATACTTTCTCTCGAAATATGTTAAATACATTTACAGAAATTTCTGCCTCATTTGTATATTATTTCCTTTTAAAAGGCAGGTCAACTTGAGTTGCTGTAAACCCTCCACACAACACACAAACAAGAGATGACATTAATGTTATAACTTTAATCCTCCCACTAAGATCTAAATTGAAGTGATAAACCTGAAGAATTTATTGTCAAGATGCTGACTAAAAAATATTACTATGAGAAGTCCATTTATATGTAAGTAGTTTATTTATGAAACCAACAAATATAAATAATTTCAGGTTCTTGGGGACTGATGACTTTACTACTACACAATTAGCAGTAAACAGAGTGAAGGAAATCTGAGAATCAGTGAGGCACACATCTTAAGTGACAGTAACATTGTAAGTATACAAAATTGCTACATAATATCTGGCAGTATGCAAGTATTCTTTCATTGAATAAATTCCCTTTTTCCTAAAAGAAAGTAATGAGAGAAATGCTTAGAACTGGTTTATCTTTGCTCTTCTCCTACATACAGTAACCACAATTGTGCACAATGGATTTAATCTTGCACAACATAGAATAAAAATTGAGATTTCCAGGGGAAGAAATATTTTTTTGAAGGAGATAAGATAAACACCAAAAACTGAGAGGTGACATTATTTCTGAAATTCACCAAAATATGAGAATAATCTCAAGGGTTTACTGGGTTTTTGTTTGATTGTTGTTGTGGTTTTTTTTTTAATTTAGCCATTATTAGCTACTCCTTTTGTTCCCAAACTTGTCCTCCACTTCTGGAAGCTCCTCATGTGGCCTGTATCTTCTACTGACTTCATAAAAAATTGCTGAGAACAAAGTTTAACAATGCTTTTTGCCTTGGTGGTATTCTTCAGTAGCTGGTCTAACTCTACAACACTAGAATGAGACAGAAAAACTGAGTCTTTCTCAGCCCAGGGCAAAAGACAGTGAGATTCAGACAAGTCCTTCCTGTCTCTCCTATGGATATGCCGCACACAACTTCTGACTTTTGATACAACTGATCTCTTCTCTGCTCTTCAGACACTGACATTATTACCACTAGCCTAATATATGTTTACACTGCCCTTACTTCTCCCAAAAACATGTCTTACTGCAGTACAATTTGTAGCCCATGCAGCATAACATCTCTTCCAAAGCTGTACTTCGACAGCAATGGAGATGCCAGTAGCACCAAACTGTCACACCTTCCACATTTTACAAGAACTGTTTCCTTTCTCCCTGTACAAATAATAGCAACAAGGATACTCTTGCTTTACTGTTCCCGTTACTCATTCTGTAATGCAACTTTTAGGACACAGGATGGGAGGGCTGGAGAACACTGGAGAAAAATTACCTGGATCTACATACATACTCCCACATTGCCACCAGCCAATAATTAAATTCTTAATCATTACATCTATTCGACCTCTGAATTAAAGAAAGTCGTCTCTCACTTTTTTCTCAAACTACAAAAGCAGACTGGAAGCACTGAGGTAGAAGGAAAGGTGGAAGAAAACTGGGTATCAAATAAAACTCAGAACAATCCATGCATTTTTATTTTATTATGATTCATAACCCAGTGAAGCAGCCTGCAACGCTGTCTCTCTGTATTTTCAGTGAGAACATCATTCACAGCACTCTGCAGGGAGAGTAGGCCTAAGACCAGTTATCAGATTTAAATTAGTTCCTGAAAACTCATGTGCCACAGGTAGTATGAAGAACTAACTTAAATTATTGTGGCTGCTCTATATCCTCTTTTCTAGCTTGAATATCCTATCAACACATTGATTACTCGTAGAAAATACTTATTGTGGGAGAAAAGTTACCCCTCATTTTAAGCTTTTAAGTGTAAGAAATGGCCTATCCAGATGAAAACTGAGTATGCTGTACTTTTCAATACAGATAAGTGGTTTATTTACAGAGAACTGAATATTTAATAACTTTGTGGACTAGCAAGAGCTCTCCTTATCAGCCATGTGCAATGGAACAAAACCAGAAGGTTACAATTTTGGCAATAAGAAAATGCTGTAGAGGTCTTTCCTTCCTGAATAATCACATTCAGGTTAGAACTATTCTTAACTTGTAACAAGGGCAATTAACAACAATTACTGAAGCAGAAACTAGGAGAACAAAGGACTATTCAGCCCCCTGTAAACAGAGTACATATCCTAGGACTTAGGATGGAAATGAACCCTTAGCATAGTAGATGGGTTCTGCTTCTGTTCCTGAAGCTTTCTGGTTTTTTATTTCATGAACTGCAGCAAAATCTCTCTCAACAATGAAAAGCAGAAGTGTGGCTTAGGGCTGCAAGTTCCTCTACATATTCAAACATCAAAACAGAACTCTGATGTAATGCCAAGGAAAGCTAATAGAGGACGTGTGATTGAACAGAGAATCTCAGATTTTTTTACTAATTCAAAATCATTATTTGGATACTGCCAACATAAACGTTCTGTTTTGCTTCCAGTCCAAGCAGATCACAAGGTAACAAAGTAATTTCTTGTCCCTATTCTGACATGCCACTCATGCCGTATCATTTGAAGTGGGGAAGGTGTTCTTTCTCCCAAATTTTTCACAGTCAGAATCCTTCTAGCAGCTGCAGTGCAAATGAGCTGAAAAGGTTAAAGTATGTGTTTGTTTTTTTCCTCTTGTAATTATAGAAATAGGAGGCTCTCATCTCATATACAACTCTGCTTCCTACAAAAGGTTCAGTCATCCACTGTATTATTCTATTAAGATTGATCTAGAAGAAATGTTAAAGAGATCAGAGATGCAAGCCAGGGCTAAGACCTAACAAGACAATTTTTGAACAGCTTTATCTTAAACTGTCAAATCAAAGACACCTGGAAGACTTGAGATAAAGGTTTTAACAGAACTCATTCAGACGTTTAGACGTTCAGACCTGAACTACCTATAAACTTCATTCTACATAGGTGATCAATGTCTGTCACTGAACTTTGAATTCCCCAAATGATAATACATTAAAAGACCCATCAGAAACCTTTTTACACACGTGAGGTTCCATGCTTTCATCTGACAAACTCATGATACTCTTAATGTTTCACACAAGCAGAGAGACCTGGGTTCCTGCTTTTCTTGGATCACAAGTGAAATGGCATAGCCCTGCCTTAAATCCCATTGAGATAGTACCGTGTACTTGCAAAATCACCTGTTTTCTCAAGAACATCTTGCATGGGAATCAAGATGAAGAGCTGATTTTAAGTAACCAAGAGTCTATACAGATCTACCTGCAGTTCAGTAGAACATAGTTTTTCTACAAAATACTGTCCCCTTAAAAAGCAGGCTCAAGAAAGGGGAAAATAATGACAAACTGTCTACAGCAGCTGAAATTCAAAGGAGTAATTAATCATCTGCAGAGCAAAAGAATCACCCATAGTGAATCAGGATGGTAATTTGTTAAACTTATACATGAAAATCCACTCTATCCTTCACACTGGCAGAACAGACAGTCCTTCTATAACAGTACCTCTAAATTACCTGAAAAACACTTTGGATGTGTTTCAGTATGGAATATAAAATTAATTAATATTGACATAGTTCAGATAAGTTTTCAAACTACTACTGAAAATTTATCCATTAGACATCACAGGGAAAGTAATACCAAACTGAAATATTAACACGGTATTACAACTTTATTTTTAAAAGGACAATATCAAACTTTTCAAGAGTATAAATAGTTTGTATGCTTTCCTGGAATCCTTGATTTTGTATGTTAGAAAAACTTCAAAAGTTAGACTTCAGCTTGTAAGAAAAGCACATAAACTAAACCATGCAAGAAACAAGTCAAGATACTGACTGCTGAAAAATCACAGCGCTTGGATCGAAACCCTGGAAGTGATTATATATGTAACAGACTAATAATCTTTATTTTTTTTATTCTAAATTGGCACTTACTAGCAAATAACATTCAGGACACTGGCATAAACCTCTGCATACAACTCCTTTCATTTCTAAAATAAAGTTTTATTTCCTTATCCAAGCAATTCTAACAACAGAATCCTTGGTCCTTCATGGATCCTTGTAACTACAGAATGATGACAAACTGAAAAGCAACAGATCAATTTTAAAATATCACAACTGAAATCGACCAACCAGACACAGTTCAATCCAAAACTACAGCCTACAAAACTACAGCCTACAAAAAACAACGTTATTTAGCATTATTAAGAAAAAAAAGAACTTAAATTATAATTGCTTTGCTGATCCCAAATATATTAGGTCCCACAGATATCAGAAAAGAAAGCAACTTTTTGAAAGACGAGGTATTAAGGTGAAAGCTTTTTAAATCTGAGCACAGGGGTACAACAACAGGGAGGTTCTTCATGTTAGATGAAGAACAATAAAGGATGAAAAGCTCTACTGAAACAAGTGGTTCTACCTTGACAGTCTGGAGGTACAGTAGCTTCAAATATGTTTACATAAGCTTTGAAGAAAGCAAAAAAAAATCTTTTTCTGACCATCTAATCTACCAGAAACATAATTCAAACAACCAACATTATCTGCTGATTTACCTTGAGCTTCCCACATTTTTGGGTACACTAAAAATGTCTGCAAAATTTCAACAGGATTTCAGGTTTTTATTAGAAAACTTCCACTAGGAAATTATCATACTTTTTTTCCCACCCTCCAAATTCTAAAAAAGCATTTCCCATACCACACTAAGAAATGGATCCGCCACATGCAAGACCACAGATTCCACAGTGCTTCTACATGAACATCTGAATCTGCCACTAAGTTTCCAGGATCGGAAAATACGAACTACCCTAAACATATTTAATATGCTTATTTAATAATTCCACAACTTTGGGTTACAGCTGAAGCATAACAGAAGACATTAATACCTGGTTGTGCTTCGCTAAATGGAGCCCAAAAAGGCCCAGGTCCAGCAAGAGGCCGTTCATTATTCCCTCCGCTGGGATGGCGGTTGTGCTTCCTCCATGTATGTGGAGAGGTTGGTGGGGATTGCTGTGGTGAAACAACTGGAGATGTGGACTCCTAATAAAACAAAGGAACCTTTTAGGCTTTTATGTATTTATTTAGTAAAAAACTTATCGAAAACCATTATTTCTAGGAATAACCATCACTGCAGTTAAAGCCTCATTTCAGAGAGTGACAATTTCAGTACTTATAAAAATGAGGGAAGAGGAGAAATCAGGTACAGTATGACTGGAACTGGACACATTCACTTCAAACAACCTGATCTAGTATTTTCTTACCCTGGCATTTTTAAGACAACAGCAATGCCGAGTTAAATTATTTTACAATGGAAACTGTATTATAAGACTCACTTTCACGTGTGATTAAAGGTATATTTGAATCCAGGTCTCAAAGAAAGACTTACTGCACAACTTATTAACATACTTAATTTTCATCAAGTGATTCACAATCAGTTACTTTCATTTAAAAAACCAAACCAGAATTAAACACTACCAAAAAAACCCCAAAAACACTCAATGGGACATATTTTTTTTTAATATGCAAAAACATAGATGTAATTTTTTTTAAACAATGATGCCATTTAGGATATACTTCTCTGCTGTACAAATTACAAGCTATTTTTGCCCTGATGTTAAGGCTCATGCTTCTCTTTAATCCCATATGGTACTATACACTGTCTGAACAGGTAGGCAAACAGAGGATCACATGTGCAATTCTAGCTGGAATCATGAGACATTCAGATTACCAGATTAACTCACTTCAAATGAAATACAACGAGAAATAATTTCTATTGTACAAAGTAAAGCATATAGTAGAAAGTAATTTCCTCCCTATACCTAGATCTTAAGACTGCCACTTGCAGGCTGGAAGCTAGAACCAAGGTTGAATGGCTCATCTGCTTAGCAAAGTGCAACAGGTGCTCAGAGAACCATTATGGTGCATCACTGAAATAAATTAAAAAGCTTTTGCTCCCACCCGCTTTTATACAAGCCACCTTTCATCAAACAAGTTTTGAAGGATGTTTGAATTTTTACACAAAATACAATGAACAAACCTAGGGAAAGCTATGCTTGGTCACAGACACTACTCATTTACTCCAAGTAAATGACTTACCCTGCTAAGTCAAATGCTCCAGAAAGACACAGAATAAAACCTGACACAGTCAAAAATATGACAGCCTACCTACAGGAAATCGCTCACTACTTCCAGTATCTGCATGTGAACATTAAAAACTCTTGACACATAATTAAGCTGACAACTATCACTATTCAGCAAACTTCCATCTAACATCTGACCTTATGCTCAAGGCATAGGAAGAAATTGTCAATAGGATCATCAACTTTAATTCCTTTAAATGTTTACTTTACATATGGTTCATGAAATTCAGTAAAGCATATAATAATGGTAATCAGATAATCAGAAGTACAAGCATAATAAATAATTAACTTTTTTCTCAATGTTCCAGACAATGTTATATCATAACTTTGAACATTTACATATAGATTTGGCACAATTTATTTGTATCTTCAGCTTACAGACTCCAAAATTATTAAACAGCAAAAGTATGTCACTAACTTGGATGTCAAAAAGCTTCTGGAAGAGGCAAAAGCCACACCTTTAGCTTTATCATCATTACAAGACACAAATCCCAAAACCAGTCTAAACCAAATTTCACTCTTAGATTCCACTTATGGCATTACCTGATCCAGCTTACTAGACGTTTAGAATAGCTAAACTCCTTAATAATTTTTTTTTAATGTGTGTGTGTATATATACTTATATACACACAAATACTTGTGTCACTGTGTGTGTGTATATCTATATATAATTTAAACATTTCTTAGCCAAAATACTGATGATGCATGTGAAGAAGATGCAAGCCAGGAAAGACTGGAGAGGAGGCAGGACTGTAGAATCCCTGACTTAGATTCAAATGCAGTCACAGGAACACAATTAGTAGGATTTTATTGTAACTAATTACCTACAGGTTCATCCACCCCTTATATACAGGTTATCATGAACTATGTGTCTGTCTTTGCAGTGGGTCAGAAATTGTCATTTTCACATACTCCTGCTTAGAAAACAGGTTTTGTTGTACAAAGTTTCCACTTGCATTTTGCACTAAGCTTCACATTTTAGTAATTGGAGGCAACATATTCATTAGAGCCACCTCTATTCCTCAGCTGCAACAAACGCTGAGAAACTGAAAGTGTTCTCATAGTGTAGGCGGCAGGTAAAGAAGTAGGATCATTCACTTTCACCTGTCTGATCTATTACTAAAATAAACTTATTCTGAAAGCCAGAAATATCCAGGATCAAAGTTTTCTAAAAGTATTACGGTACAGAATCTAACTTAATTGCTCTTCAAAATCATAATGTAACAACTACACAGTTTGCCTATTCTGGGTCACTGATAACTCAGCAATTTTTAATGTCACCAATTTTAACAGAAGTTACCCACCTAATCTCCTTGGGAACTTTGACAATTTTAGTCACCATCTGCATACTCTAGTTTGATGTATCATTTATTAAATCACCTACTATTACAATCTTATTTTGATAAACTATTTTAGCACTTTCAATGCAATTGTATTTCAAAATTTAAAACACTAGCTTTTAATTACTCTCCAAACAAGCCTGAATAAAAATTACAATTACCACTTTCTGGGTTTTACCATCTTGAGACATGATTTCTCCTTTTCAAATTATTCCAGAAAACATAAATAAAAGCTTATTCACATAAACAGTTAATAACTATTTCACATGTTCATGTTAAAATCAAACTGCTGAGTACATTCGTCTCAATAACTAATTAAGAAACTAAGGTCCTAGCTAAGAGGCAAAAGTTAAGCAGACCATCTGAATTAAAAATAAATAAATCACATTTTAAGAAGTTACAAAAAAGCATGATTTTTGTCAAACTGGACTTCCAAAACCAAGACACTACGATGGACCCTGAACTTGGGACTTGATTGTAGACTGAGCAGCAGTTACTAAAATAGCATGTCAATTTTAAAAGTTGATATAATATATGGCTCTAAAAGTAAAATTGTAGTGAAGACAGGAAACAAACTGGTGTAAGGCAACACAACACTGCACTAAAGCAACTCTGGAAGAATCCCAAACAAGGGCATTGCAAGCATGAGTCAAATCAGATTAAAAACCTTTTCCTGGATCTCACACCTCAGGCCAGAAGAAAGCCTCCTAAGGAGAATTCCAGAGACAGTGAAGCCAGACACAAAATTTGAAGGGTAGCTCTAAGGGTGTTGGGACCCAGGTCCTGATAGCAAACAGCCTGCATAAGAGTCAGTGAACAGATCCATCATGAAGATTATGCTAGAGATGGTAATTGCATTGTAGAACCCATGTTTTTGCAACCAACTAGCATTTGTACTGAAGAACAAAACATACCAAAGGTCAATGTGAACTTCACACACAGCACTACACATTTTTTGAAAAGGGGGCGAGTGATTCAGTCAATTATAAACTTGTTATTCTGACCTGAACAGTTTGAAAAGTTTTAGGCTAAGTTTTGAAGACAGTAAGAAACACAGACAAATGAAAAAGGGATCAATCACAGCATGGGAAATTTTACTTAAGTTGGCTGATATTATTTTTGTGACTTTCTAGACAAAGGTACTGCATTATATTTAACCTGAATTTCAGCATAACTTCAGTGGGGTTGCAATACGAGATAGAAAAAGTTAAAACGATCAGGCCGCACTGATAATGGCAACAAATCAATATAACCTAGAGTGCCAGTATTATACTTAAAAGCACACATAAGTAAATGAGCACCGAGTGCCAGTATTATACTTAAAAGCACATAGGTAAATGAGCACCTTTTATTTTCACCTGATATACCAAGGATTTGTTACATACATGTTTTTCAGCTGTTGGAGCCTCAATGTCTATTAAAACTAGCTACCTACCTTTCTTGAAAAAGGTGACAAACCAGGTGAAAGTATCCTAAATCAGTACCTGATCAACAACTGGATCACACTTTAAAGACACTGGAAAACAGTATTTGTTTTTTTTTTGGCTTTAACAAAAAAAAGCATAAAACATGCAGGGGCAATATCTAAGACTGATACTGAGAATACTGAATCACTTCTAAGCTACTTTCAGAACATAGAAAATACTTCTTAATTTCAGCATTGCTGCTGCTTCTAAGAAAATGCTTAAAGTACTTCTTTTTTTTTTTTTTTAAAAAAGGAATAAGACAAAAGAGCCAAAAAAGCTTTCATCTACAATGACAGCTCCTTACTCTACTAGGAGGATTGCTTTTAAAAATACCGCAAGAGCTCAACAAAATCTAGACTCTCAAGATTGGCCTAAATTAGTATTTTTAGTAGCATAGCTACTGCCAAGGCATAGAGGTATGTATATACACAGGGATTAACATACCTATGTCAACAAAAGTGCTTGTATACATACATATATAGGTCACATTATCAGCAGAAGTGTTCCAATCTACTAAGCCTTAGCAGAGAGAGCTGTGGATGTTCATCCTGGAGAAAAGAAAGCTCCAAGGAGACCTTAAAGCACCTTCCAGTACCTGAAGGGGCTACAGGAAAGCCGGGGATGGACTTCTGACAAGTGCATAGAGTGATGGGTTGAGGGGAAAGTTTTAAGCTGCAAGAAGGCAGATTGAGATGGGATCTTCAAAAGAAATTCCTCATTGTGCACATGGTAAGACACCAGAACAGTGTTGCCCAGGGAAGTTGTGGATGCCCCATCCCCAGAAGTGTTCAAGGTCAGGTTGGAGGTTGGATGGGGCTTTGAGCAATGTGTTCCAGTGGAAGGTGTCCCTGCCCATGGTAGGAGAGGTAGAACTAGATGAGCTTTAAGGTATCTACCAACACACACCACTCCATGATTCTGTTATTTAGGAAGAAGAAATTATGCCAGCAGAAAAACAAACCAAAACATTTTCCCCAAAAGTTTTATCTCCACTAGGATGTGCAGTCAACATGCTGTCTAGTGACTTTTACTATTGGGCTTGACTCCTAGAATCAGTTGTGCCGTTTCCATGACAGCTGGGCATTGACTTCAGTCATCTTCTGTTAATACTGACAATATCAAAAAGATACAAACTTCTGGTCAGTGCTGTACTTATGTAATACTTAGCCACTATAAACCAAAAATGCCACCACAAAAATGGCCAGAGATAGGAAAAGGATGTTTCTGAACTTAGCTCATGCTTACTTTAAAAGGTGAACTTGCCTATAGTTACTCTTTAGAAACACAACCCGATTGACGTTTCCTGACAGCCTGCCTCCAAGTGCAGCTAATTGAGGGGAACTGCCAAAATAATACATTAATAAAGAAATAGTTTTAGTTAGGAAATTTCAGTAGACAATACTCTAAGATCAATTATTTTACATAAATTATTATTATGCTTGACAACTCTCACCAATAAAGAAAGCTACACAGTTTTTAAAGATGAAGATTAAGATAACTTACGATTTCATACAAAAATATTTCAGGCAAGGTATTTTATGAAATCAATATATATTGATATATATTGCCATATATTGACATATTGCCAAAGCCAGTAAACTGTTTAAGAAAAAAAAGTAAAATCAAAACGCAAACTCACTAATGGAGTATCTAACAACCACACAACAGGCTATAAAAGCAAAATAGTCCATCTTGACTTGACACTTCATTTCCTTCAGAAAGATTGTGCTCTACTTCTCAAACTTCAGCTCTTCTCATCCTCATCATTGAAAGAGGTGGCATACAATGAGGACTTGCTATCTGAACTCCTTTCTACATTTTACAAATCTGAGCAGTATCTCCAAGTGAAGACAACTGGATCAGCAATTTGTACAAAAAACACAGCTAAAACTGTAGCTGTCTTGGAAAATAACCCAATTAGAGTATTTATGTAGTTAAATACTGGTTCAAGCCCCTTTCTCAGCCTAAGGGGATTAAAATTCTCAGCTTATTTCTAATGTGGTGTCCAAATCAATAAATATTAGACTGGGACAAGAAAGCTGCTTGAATGGATTAATTGTGCAGTCAGAAATGTATAATCAGCCATGGAAAACGCAGTTCTACAATAGGGTGCAAAACCAGACAGTAATTCCCTGATGTTCTAGACCATGAACACAGCTTAAAATTGCTGTGCTCAATGCTGTGCTGTTACATTTGTTCCAAGTCTGCTCTCTGTGTAATTTCTCCCAAAAGACTTACACAGTTTATTTTATTCTGATGATCACATAGAGACTTGAGCAAAAGAGATACCAAACTGCTTCTATCAGTCGGAGAAATGCAAGGTGGATGCTTATACACCTTTGTGAATATGTGGTTTTATCCAGAACCCGAAGACATCAAACACCCAATCTTTTTCATTATTTTAAAGTTATACAGACTCCTGCATCATATTACTTCTGCTCACTAAAACTTAACACCATGATTATGGACATACAAAGCACTAATTCAATCAAACCAAACCCCAGTCATCAGATCAAGGTGAGCTCCAATTGTTGATTTCTTCATCAAGTACTTGGGAGCTCTCTCAAACACACGTAACCACAACTAGATGACAAAAAGCTGTTTTCAGATCTACTGCCAGTCCTCCTTTCATTATAGTCCCCATCTCCAGTTGGAAAGAAAGGAAGTGGTAGTATTTATGGAAGGCTTCTGCTAATCTGCTTTTTCTTTATATTGGATCAGTCTGGAAGAGTCTCTCAGAGAGATTAATACATGTTTACAAGTGATTCCTTGATTCCCAAGAGAGTAGAGGACTTGATTTCAAGTTCCTTGACTTTTTACAAAACAAGCCCAGAAAAGAGCATACAATGGGGAAGAAAACAGGTCATTTAGCAGTTATGCACAGACACACATACAGCCAGCAAAATTTACTATTTGCACTCTGTTCTTGCTTGTAGAAAAGAATCAGAAAAGATTTCCATGTGGAAAGAGAGTGTAAAGTCCATAAAACCCATGAAATTATGAGAAGGCATAGAGTTGTAAATCTTTATCATTTTCATTTACACAGATACCCTGTAGCTGAAGATGAAAGAAACAGTGAGCCAAAGGAAATAAAAGCTTTTTCATTATTAGAACACAGTATGTCTTATTTCTGGTTCTCACTGTCTCTACTTCACAATTAAATAGCTGAATAAAATGTAAGGCAGAGAAAAGTAACTGTGAGACTTTTTTTTTCCTAAATAAAGTCTTTCAGATTTAAAGGTATTGGAGCATGTTGAAGGCCTAGAAATTATGTCTTCCATGGCATTCACTACCACTGTTCCAATGAACAGGAAAGACAGTGTGAACTATCTAATAAAGGAGACACTAATATAATAATGATTAAAACTTAGTATTTGTTATCACATCTTAAACATTGATTTTCTTTTCTGTCTCAGACATTTCTGTTACGACCAATATCTTAAACAGTGATTGTAGGACTCCATAAAAAGTGTCTCCTACATGCAAGTATTTCAGAACCATATATGGTGTTCTTGTATAATATACTTTTTTTAAGAAACTATATTGAAAGCAGTAAAGTTTGAAAGCCCTATGCAGCAAAGTAGTGGTTAAGAGTCCCATTTGATCTTTAAGTTAATTTACCTGTTGATCAGTTGATGTACGTTGCTGAACTGCATCATGGCTCACGGAGCCTTTTTTGACTTGTACCCTGCCAGGTGGAGGAGGAATCACACCTGAATATGAAGCTGGGTTATCGGCATCTGAAGAATACAAAGCTGTGTGTCTTGACTCTTGTTCATTCTTTGACACAACAAATCTGGGAAGAGGGAGGTCCTTTACTGTTAAAAAAAAACCAAAGCAGGCCATTTACTATACAGAAGCATATAGTTAAAATTTCACACATGCCTCAATTACTTAAACACTGAGATGGCTGCTATAGTCAAGCAACATCTGCCAGTTGGAAAAATGCAAATACTCTTTCTGCATTATACTTCATTATTCTGCTACCCAAGTTCTGGTTTTGGTATACAAAGAGAACTTCACATAGCTCCATAACAGTTCTGCACTACTACTCTGTATTAAATGAAAAAGCAATCAGATAATCTAGATTTAGCTAAGTTTTTCTTATTTTTGCCAACATTTAATTACTGAAGCGTGGTTTTCACACTTTCAAAGCACATGCATAAAATTAGAGTCTTCATACAGAACAGCTCATCAGCAAGACAAATACTGAAACACTGCAGTACATTCAGTATCATCTTCTAGTGAGCTGATGTCATGTTTATACTCACAACAGATAATATAATCTAGTCTTTCTGCAGAAACTGCATCTATTACGTTAAACACATCTGTGTACACCTTTCTACAATCAAAACTAAATTAGCTGTTTTACTGCAGTACAACTGGCAACATTCCACTATCATCTCACTTTGTTACAAACACCTATAAATCAGAGTTTCTACCAAATGCTAGGAGAGCCTTAGTTTGATGTGTCATGATTCAGAGTAGTCTGATATAAAAACGAGGCTATGAAAGTCTTCAGTTTTTCTCTGCAAGATTCCTACCATTTTTCTGAATCCCAACCACAACTTTCTTATTGGTCCACCGTGACTAAAAATAAAACTGCCAGTTTGCTGTATAGCTTATTTGGAAGTTATTTTCTCAACACAAACCAGATTTGCAAGCACACCTCAAATTTAATTTCTCTTGTTCACTGCTTACATTGATTACTTTTGGTATTGAAAATGAAGCAGTGGTACTAACAACTGACTAAAATATGAGATGAAGTGGCATACAATTTATTATAGAAAACATTTTCATGTTTATGTTTTACATTTATTACATTAACATTAAACTGAATTGTATTCGAAGACTGTAATTTGAATCCATAGTCCTGAACAACCGCAGACACCGTTATGAGCTCCTCCGATACTACAGAAAAACACTCTGAAACTCTTGATTTAAGTCTGTCACTAAGCACAACTCAACAAGCTAAACAGCTTTCAACACAGGGAAGAACATGCAACACAGCCTCTGCTAAATGTTGTTTATTCATCACATGGGAATCCTGTTAAAACAATTCCTGATGCCTTCATAATTTCTAGATGCCCATTTTCACATTAGCCTTACATTCCATGCAGCACTAGGAAAGTTATTCACCTAGCTAAACAGTGCACTACAACCAGGCAAAAGGTGAAAAAGTAATTGTATACAAGTGAAAATTTGTATGCTTGCAAAACAGGGGATAATACAGACACCAGAACATCCAACTGACACGGGGAAGTCTATGCAATCACTTGTTTCAACATGAGGTTTTGGCCTCTAGCAGTACTTCACAAAATAATGTAGTGGGGCCTAGAAGGAACATATAGAATACTGTTTTATTTAAAAACAAGACTAGATAAGGTTGTTCTCCTCTACTAAGTTTCTACATGGCCAACTGAAATCTGCCAATCTTACTTCTCTCATCTTTTCCCCATGACAGCAGAAATAAACTCATTTTAACACTACATTTTTACCACTTAGAAAATCCTCAATTATAAATGTGATAGCTGTTATGAATGGAATTAAACCTTGATGTTGAGTAAATCCAGAAAGTCTCTACTTTTTATAGGCTTGTTAACATTTTCTTCCACAAAAAAACCCCACAAAACACCTGTATTCCATACTTAGGAAATAGATACCAGTTGTTAATTTCTCAGTGTTTAACTTCCTGGAAAGAAATTTTCTGGGACAGCAAAGATCAACAGATTTAGAGGTTTGTAGTATAATAACCAAAGCCAGTATTTTTACTACACTGCACACATGAGTAATCAGAACAGCACTCAGTTAGCAAAGGATAACCTAGATTACACTTGACTGTAGTCTCTACTCAGCAACTCACATAAAGCAAGCTTCATGTTTACTTAAGGGACACGCAGTGAACAAAAAACCAAAAGAAACATGGAGAGAAAATGTCCAGATAGAGTGAATAACATTAAGACAATAATGGAATAAAACACACATAGAATGCAGAGCTAAAAAGTAGATGACCTAAAATAAAAATGTTAAATGTTTTACTTTGAAGACAGAGTATACAGTTTAGTTTGGGGTGGCTCTAACAATTCCTCTTCAAGACCTCTTGGAGATGGACTGTGGGCAGAACCCAGCTGTCCAGGCTGCTGAACATCAGTTTTCAAAGAAAGGTAACCCAAGCTTTGAATCATGTTATTGAGTCTTCAGCCTGCTGAATTTTAGCTGTTTAGTAGCTGCTATAACAACATTTGAATCATCCTAGGAGCAGGAAGGTTGCAGACAGGTCTGCAACCAAGGTAACAGACAACCAAAGCTAAAAACAGTTAGGATAAAAATAAATGTTCTGTCAATTGCATTTGTTTTATTTAGTAGATTTGGAACTAGTTACAGAGACTTATTCCTAGAAATCTAGAAGCCATTGTATGTATTTCTAATATTGTCATCACTCAAGGAAATGTATTCTATTATAAAGTTCCAACGGCTGCTAATTTTACAGCAAAGTATTTTGTATTTTGGATTTAATTCTGTGCCTTCATTTCAATTTCTTCCATCTAATGTCTTCCAAATCTTTATTTTCCTTAACAGAAAAGCTCATTCCAGTTAAGGTATCTTGCATTAAAATATAACCAAGCATACAAAAACCCTGGAACCAGCTACATAAACAGGAATTTGATGGAAAATCCCACAATTGTTATATCAAGTCCCAGTTCTACTGGATACTAAGAGTCTAAGGTCCCTTTTCCAACTTTCTGATTCTAGGGCATGCTGCTACAACCTCCTGAGGCTTTAGATTTGGAAACTCTCATCAGGAAAATGAGGGAAATGGTTTAGAAACAGAGGGTGGCTTATGAGCAGGAAAGAACTCGAATACCAATAAAACATAGACTGAAATAATGCACTTTCTAAAAAAAAGCTACAAAACCCATGAAAACAGTTTATACTGCTTGTACAAGCCTTGAAGAACTGTAACTGTAAGAGTATACATAATGATACCTTTCTTATTTATAGCTTTATCAAACACTTCAGTCCTATCAGTGGTATTCAGTGCACCCTCAGCAAGTTTGCTGATGACACCAAACTGTGTGATGAGATTGACATGCTGGTAGGAAGGGATGCCATCCAGAGGGACCCTGACAGGCTTGAGAAATGGGTTTGCGCAAACTGCATGAAGTTCAGCTAGGCCAAGTGCAACGTCCTGCACCTGGGTCAGGGCAATCCCAAGCACAAACACAGGCTGGGGGGAAAATGGATCAAAAAGAGTCCAGAGAAGAAGGACTTGGGAATGATGGTGCACAAGAAGCTCAGCATGAGGTGGCAATGTCCACTTACAGCCCAGAAAGCCAACTGTGTCCTGGGCTGCATCAAAAGAAGCATGGCCAGCAGGGCCAGGGAGGTGATTCTCCCTCTTCACTTGGTTCTCTTGAGACCCTGCCTGGAGTACTGTGTCCAATTCTGGAGCCCCCAACATAAGGAGGACATGGAGCTCCTGGAGAGAGTCCAGAGAAGGGCCATGAGTATGATCAGAGGGCTGGAGCACCTCTCCTACCAGGACAGGCTGACAGAGCTGGGGTTGTTCAGCCTGGAGAAGAGAAGGCTCCAGAGAGACCTTATAGTGGCCTTCCAGTATCTGAAGGGGGCCTACAGGAAAGCCGGGGAGGGACTTTTTACAAGGGCTTGTAGTGAGAGCACAAGAGGTAACGGATCAAAACCAGAAGAAGGAAGATTTAGGTTTTAGACATTAGAAAGACATTCTCTAGTGTGAGGGTGGTGAGACACCGGCACAGGATGCCCAGGGAAGCTGTGAAGCCCCACCTCTGAAGTGTTCAAGACTAGGTTGAATGGGGCCTTGAGCAACCTGATCTAATGGGAGGTGTCCCTGCCCATGGCAGTTGGGGTTGGAACTTAGTCATCTTAACTACTCTGTTTAATCTATATCCCTTAGACACAAAAACTCCTAAGCTTTCTTTTAATTACCAGCATATATAAATTATATCACAACATGTATTCTACAGGTAAAAAACTTAGTAGGAAAGTCACCTTATATGCAAAGCTGTGCTCCAAAGATTGTTGTGAATTGTGAATTATGCTGCAAAGGGCTACGGTAGCTTAAAACTCATTAATCCATCTTCCTACATCTCTTTTCATCTCACAGAGCAACATTGACATGGATCCACTTACATCACTCAGAAGGCTAAAGCAGAGCCTCATATCAAAGCTTCTGCTGTTCTGAATGATCTTCCTAGAGTCTTTCCCCTGTTCCTATTTCACTACTTATTACCACAGCTGACCTTTGATAAGTGGGGTAAACAGGTGTTTAAAAACAGGCTGATAACAGACTTCAAATATCTTTTACAGTTCACCTTTTTCACTAGAAAAATCTTTAAAAATTAACCTTCATATCTGCATTAAGAAGGAAAAAAACTGTCATGTATAGAGGAATGTGACTTTAGAAAAGATTACCTCTTATTTGTTGCAGTCAAGGCTTCATAAACTCGGCAACTACAAAACCCTACGAATTTCCTCCCAATTCACATCAGTCCTATTACTACTTTATTCAGAGTATGATACAGCGTATGAACACAAGTTCTCACACTAGTAACCTATAAAATCAACTTGTACCTACACAATAGGCAGTAGTAGTTTTTCATTTACCCATGAACAATACTTATTGAACAACAGTAAGGTATTTCACCTCATATTTACTGTGTAGTATGAATACCCTCCCCAATAGTCTATTTGCAATTTTTTAAGTTAGCAACATGCTTAAAAAGAAATACCAAACTAATTTACAAAGTTACTCTACAAGAACCTGCGAGCCCAGCACAGTAATTCCACCTGGCAACTCAATTCCCACCCCCTCCTAGATTTACCTGTGTTTAAACTTTCCACTCTTAGAGGGAGACCAGATTGGGCCACAGCAACAAGTTTCAAAGCAATGTAAAATTGACTTCTTCCAAAATAGCCAAGTCTTGTTGCACCACAGAGCTCCATAATCTGAAACAAAACACACAGTTACTTGTACAAAGTCACTCAAAACATGAAATGCTCTGCAGAGGCCATTTCATACATTTTAAGAGCATCACACCTTGCATTAAATGATCTTAACTTCCTATAGACAATCTTTCAGTAACAACTTCATATGCAATCTCTAAACATTATGTGACATGAGTCACAGCATGTGATTCCTCATGACCAGCAAAAGCATCAAGTCTGAAACTCAAGTTTCTCCCAATTATTCACCTTTTCTTTCACCTAGGCTTTAGAAGATGCACACAGTTGACAAGAGAGCGTGCAAGACAGGGTAGCTGGGGTCATGTTCCTTTAAAAACTACAAATAAATCCCCCTCCCTAAAACCACATAATAAAAATCCTATGTCACTACTAGCTAGTCCATTAGCACCTATATTGTGTCTTCAATCACAATGACAGAAAAGCAGAAACATTCAGCATTTTTAGTACTGTATTGTCAGATATAATCCAGAAACACAAAATCATGATTTTGAAATAATTCTTAGGCAAAATTGAACAGTGTTACTGATCAAGTTAGAGGTGGTCTGCCCTCAAATTCCTCCCTGAAGAACTTCAGTGAACAAGGTTAGAATTTACAAAAAGGTAAAAAAACTTGACAACAGCAAATGATACCTTCCAGCCTTTTCTGATACAGGCCTGCTTTTAACGTACGAAACAAGCCTCTAAAGCATTCATTTGGAACACAAAGAAGTATCTGCACATACGCACGGATTTCAGCAATTCGGTAAAATGCAGAAATTCATGTTCACCAAAAAATGCCACAGATGCCGTTTCAATTAAGAAATACAACAAAGAATTGGTGTTATTTTATTCCCTTTTCTTCCCCCAGCATTCTATGTAACAGAAAGCTGGTTTTGTCTTTTGTTATGAATTTTAATAAACTTTGGTCCATCCAGATAGCAAGCCATGTCTTTAAACGCAATGACTGCCCACCTCTTCACATCACAGACCTAAAAACTACAAGTAGGTTTGCACTGTCAGCGTCAGGTCACTGATAAGATACTAAGCATGAAACATCCCAAATCAGGCTCTCCAAGCTACAGTGTCTTTGTATCTACGCAGCTGTCTTATCTAGACTGTAATGTTCCAAATGAAACATAAAAGATGCTCTTTTTCCTAACTACTGGGATGGACTTACTGGGCTTAGAAAAAGCTGTCCTGAAAGAACTTACCAGCTTTCAGAGGAGACAGTTCCAAAAAGCAGAGGAGCTTTGCTTGCTGGCAAGTTCCAAAAGAAAAAGTCAACTACATTTTCACATAGCAGCGGCTGAACCACATGAGTTATCCTATATGCTTCAGCACTGCTGAAACAGGAAACTGACTTTGGTAACTCCACACAATCAGAACAATGGACAGGTTTATGAACTACAGCTGAGCTAGATGTAG